AGCATGACAGCGTGGTCCATTGCTGCTGGCCACTGGTGGTTGGGTAGCCGCATGCCACGTAATAGTTTGCGCATGCTGTTCTGCAGGGTCCTGTTCAGTCGTTCTGCAACACCTTGCTGCTGATGTGCGTAGGGAAGGGAGAGGAGTTGCTTGATCCCCCTTTCCGCCAAGAACTGCTTGAAGCGGTGAGAGGTGTATGTCAGAATCCCAACCACTAGACCATTGGGATAAAAGGGCTTGTTTCAGTAGCGGGTCAGTGCGCCCATAACCCCCCAGGCAAACGCGCCTGTAACCCCCCCTAGGATCGATCGGGGATCTCACAGTGTAGCTCTACTGACACCCCCCCACACTGGGAGGCCCAGAACTGAGCACAGTGGCAACGACCAACATGTGCATACACCGGGATTCGAACCCGAGACCTTCGCTCTGATAACATGTCAGAATCCCAACCACTAGACCATTGGGATAAAAGGGCTTGTTTCAGTAGCGGGTCAGTGCGCCCATAACCCCCCAGGCAAACGCGCCTGTAACCCCCCCTAGGATCGATCGGGGATCTCACAGTGTAGCTCTACTGACAGTGTACTCGCCACCTCCGTCTGACTGGAAATTTTTCAGTTGTGTTCCAGACTCTCTCTCTGCTATCGGTAGCCAGGCGGCGAATGCTGCGAGCGCCATGTCGCGGCTGGGTAGGTTGCGATGCCAGACGTATCGAGTGGCGGCGTCGATGAAGGTGATGGTGTAGTTGTAGTTGACTTGTCCTGGCTCGCGATTGTAGAGGATGTCGCTGTAGACTTTTTCGAGTGGTGCGTACGCTGGAGCGCTCGGGTTGTGATGTGAAGCAAACGGTCGATGAGGTAAGTCAGCTTCGGGACATATAAGGCAAGTCCCTCGTGCCTTCTGGAGTTCTCTGCCATCGGGTAGAAGTAGAGAATCTTTGTCAAGGACTCCTGCTTTTATCGTGTTATTCAAAACCGTGTTGCTTGGATGTCCTGTTCGTGCGTGCCAGATCTCTTCAGAGGCGCGGTGTCCAGGTGAACGCTGATATGCGTCGGAGTTGGAGTAAAAGCTGGCGACGAGGTTGGCGCTTCGGTGGACTTCACGTTGAGTCGGATTCAGCTGTTTCGCGGGTGTTGGTGGTGCTTCGTCGACTGTGACTGGTGTCGTTGTTCCTGCTGCTGCTGATGTTGTTGCTGCTGCCGATGTTGTTGCTGCTGCCGATGTTGTTACTGCTGCCGATTGTCGAATTGTTGCTAATGCTCGTGTTCGTTCTGCTTCAGGAATGGTGTGCGAGTACCAGAAGCCTCCTGGGCTGAAGTCGGGGTCGAGATCCGGAGGGTGTGTCCAGTCAGTGAAATTCACGATGGCGTCGCTGTCTGCAGTGCCCAGGTCAGGAACGAAGTCGAGGACGAAGACGTTGTTCTTCAGCACTGCTTTCCCGATGTAGAGACCGCCTCTCCCGTGGTAAAGTTTGAACTCCTGGGTCGTGCTGTCGGCTTCCAGATGAATTCCTTTCGCCATCAACTGGCTAACGCTCAGTAAGTTGTAGCCGAGTCCTTCAGCGATGAGTACCTTAGACATGTGCAGTATGACATTTGTTTCTCTTGACTGAAGCTGTACCACTCCTTGTCTTCGTGTGCGCAGGTTTTGGTTGTTGGCAACCGTGATGATCACTTCCCGTTGGAGTCGATGTTCGCGTTGTACGAAACGCCCGGACGAGCACATGTGTTGCCCGCAGCAACTGTCCAAGAACCAGGTGTCTTGGCCGGACGGTTCACTTTGAGCGATGGCGGCGTACGTTGGATTCGGCTGGAGTAGCTCACGGCGAGGCGTTCTGTTGTCAAGCTCTTCTTCCGGTGAGTAGTGTGGTGGTGATTCGGTTGTACATGAATCGGTTATCTTCGTCATGCAGTTGATTATATTTCTTGCTCCTTGTGCAGGTTGTCCGGGTGAAGTCGTTGAAGCTTGAATAGTGGTCGTCGCACTTGCTTGTGTTGAAGCCATTTGGGAGCTTGAAGGTCGAAGTTGTCGCTGTGGTGCCGTTGATTGCTGACGATTCGGGCAGTGTGTGCGCGGGTGCCCTGAAGTCTTGCAGATGTGGCAGAAGGGAGGTACTATCTTCGGTTGCTGCTGTCGGTTGTTATAATTGCTGTGTCGTCGTTGAGTGTGGAATGCGAACTCTGATACTGTCGTTTTCTTCCTGTGTCGTTCTTCCTGCAGGTCCATATCTTGCTGCTCGGCATGTATTTCGGCGCAGAGTGCAGCTTCAGAGATTCTTCCGTGGGCTCGAAGAATGGCTTTGGTGGCGCGCCACTGAGGACCAAGCCCACCAATGATGACTGTCACGAAGGCGTCTTCAGAGATTGACCCTCCGCATCGAAGCAGCTTGTCGCGCAGTTCGCGACATCGGCTGATATACGCCAGTCCTTTTTCTCCTGGTTTCATTTCGACTGTCGTCAACTGCGCCATTAACCTGCTCTGGTTTACACTGTCTGTTGCTTGATACAGGTTCTTCAGATGGCTGTACGCGAGCTCCGCCGAGTTGCCGAAGGTCCGGTAAGAGCGAATGTTCTGCTGCTGAGTTGGTGTCACGTTCCTCAACAGGATTGTATACGCCATCATTGATTGATACGTATACTGCTGCTTTTCATATTGTGTCCCGTTGGCTGGATACTGCAGGGACCCGTCGAAGAAGCCGAGTATCTGCGCGCCCTCCATCATCAGCTCGAATTCAAAGGACCAGGTAAAGAAGTCTTTGCCGTCGAAGGGTCTTGACGTTTGCAGTTTTAAGACGTGTGCAAACTGCGACTGAACTTGAAGTGCGTCCAGTGGTCTTTCTTGTCCAGGTGAAGGTTGCGGGTGGGGCACGAAGCTGATTGACCCGCGCTCGTACGGAGCAAAGGTAGGTTGCTGCTGCTGGTTTCCTCGCGCATATGACGACCCATCAAGACTCATGGGTGTCGCTCCGTTGTTGCTGTTGTGTGTTTGTGCAGGTCCCGACTGCTGGTGTTGTTCGTAGAAGGACATGAAGGAGAAAAATTTCTCCATCATGTTCTGGTCAAAGTCCGAAGGGTGGTTCATGGGGGTCTCGGTTGACGTTCCTCTTGGTCTTGTTGCCGTGCCTTCTTCTGTCTGCAGGCCAGAGGCTGGCGGTGGAGTATGAGTAGTGCCCGAGGAGCCATTAGGGGAGCTCCTTTCCTTGTTTGTTGCCATGTCTTGTAATGATATTGAAAAAAGAGTAGAGTTTCCCTTGTCTGCTCTCATACCATGTTGGGCTGAGATAGCCCCTTAGGATCTTTGCAAGGGATAACTCTAGGTGAAGTAGTTGTAATAGCGGAAGCGTTTAGTGAAGAATTTGAACCGACCTTGCACTGGTGTGTGAGAGCAAAGTTGATTGAATTAAACAAGCAAATACAAGGATTTATATAAGAGTACAGGGAATAGATAGATAACTGTATTGCTGTTGCGGTTCGATATAGCGCGACTCGGGCAACTGCTCTGTAACGAGTCAGTTGTGTGTCCTTAACTGTCGCGCTGTAATTGTCGAGTCAAAGGTCAGCGACCTTTGACTTTCTCGTAACCTCCAGGCGGTTACCCTAACCTCCGAGGTTGACTCGATGCTTCGATTGGGACTGCTTCGCTTGGTACCTTGGATTTTGATACGACAGAAGCGCACTTAGGACTTATTGTTTCCAACAAAGATTGTACATTTTGCCTGGTAAAAGTAGCGAGAGATTTTGGGTTTAGGGAATTTTCCAGTGAGAGCTTGATAGGAGGTTTTCTTGATAGGAGGATAGGAATACGCCCTAAGCGTTTATCGCTTTCAAATTTGCGTATTGTGAAAGCGAAGCTGACTGTAATGCAATTTTGTGCATCGTCGAAGCGCGGTATTCGCCTTCTCCGAATATATAATGTGGGCTGGGGTCATTCTTCCCCCACCCACGTCTCTCATTTTACAATCGCTCAAGTTCAATTCCCACCCACCCTCCCCATGCTAGTCATCTTTTGAGAGTAGAAGAAGTTCTTAGATATTTTGGATGTGATAGTATATTATTATAATTGCTAGGAACCATTGTACTTGAGCCCATTGTAATGAGAACGATGCCAATTGCTACAGAAGCAAGCTTTCTCAATATCAGAGTTTTTTGTGCAAATCAGAGAAAAAAGTCTGACTTTGTAGGGCCTGATGGTTTATTAGCTATTTTCTTGCGCTTTGAACTATCTCCGGAACTTAGTCCGGAAATTGTAGTGTCCTGCAAATCAGGCGTGCTTGAGTTTGGAAGCATTGGAGAGAAGATCCAATAAATAACTTGTCAAAGTCAATTTGCTCTCAGCACTTTCTATAAACTGATTTTGAGTCTATTACAGAGGATTTACCCGTTTGTAGAACATACTCGTCAGAAAATCACATTACATAATTTTTGCTTCATGCGTCCTTCAACTCTGACGGCTAATGCTTGACGAACCAGTTACATGGGAGCCTGAATTCGCACTTGCCCTGGCAAACTTGCGTCGCCTCTTGTCCCCCCAACTTTTCGTCAATTCGCATGCACGATCCTCATCCCACCTCAGGAGATGGCGGCGACTCGTGTCGACGGATGTGAGGGGCGGGCACAACAAATGCGAGCCACCGACATGGAAGGCGACATGCGAGGAACCAGGCAACGCACGACCGGGAATGCGAAATCACACTTATGTTTCGCGAATTAGTGATACCCGCCCCTCCTCCCCAACCCTATCCGCGAACCCATCCGCTGATTTTCCGCCAAAAGATAATGCGGAGCGCGCGAAATGACGCATCCAACGCGATTCGGGGGATTCATCGCTTTTCTCCCCCAACCCCAACCCAACCCATCTCCACCAGAATTTCCCATCCCCCGCAGAATTCGCCTCCAGAAGCTCATCAATAACGTTCTTTGAAAATAACGCTCATCAAGTCAACTTCAGAATCTCTGAATCACTGGTCTCCTGAACCTGCGGTCTCCGGAATGCGGAATTCCACCATGGCTATCTCGAGATGGACGCTGTTAGGCATCGTCCTTCTCCTCCTGCTTTCAGGTACCTGAAACAATGCCTGAACGCTAATCGCGTATGGTACTGAAAGTGAGTCTGCGACTACCGCTGCTCGTGCTCTCTGGCTCTCATCTCGTTGCGCTTATACATCCTCTCATTTCTGCAGGCTCCTTAGCGAAAGGGGGCGGAGGAGGCGGCGGGAAGGGGAAAAGCAGTGGGAATGCTAAAAAAGGCGGGGCCAGCAAGGGAGCAGGGAAGGGCAAGGGCGGCAAACTGCTTGGCTTCTTTGGCGGCCGAACCCGCGTTCTCGGTGAGTGCATTTTCCGTTTTCGTGAATATCATGTGCGTCAATTTTCCTGGTCGCAACCTTCCCTATGTCGCATCCTTCGCACAGCGATACTGCTTTGCACAATGGGTCTCTTCAGTATGATTATGCGCGTTGGAAGACCTGTATCAAGCAATGCTGTTTTCGCAAGCGAGTGTAACGCGCATCGCGATATCCTTTCACGACGTGGTTCGGCGCGCAGGCTCGGTGCAAGCGAAGCTACAAGGAAAATTCGTGGTGGACGATATGGGCGCCAGCGCGGGTGCCCGAAACGCGATTGGCACACTGACTCTGGTTTCACTTAGGTACAACCGAGATTCTAGTGATTTGTGCCGTATCTTGCGCTTCTTTCAATCGACTCAAAAATCACTGGCTCTGGTTTCATTCGAATACAGCATAGATTTAAGCGATTCCTGTCGTTTTCCCCACAGCAGTGGTCGCGATTCCTTGAATTCGGTGCTTAGTTAGTGATGGACAACTAATTGACGAGGGATGGACGCTTAAATGCAGCCGGATCACCGCTTCCCGCGCCCACCGCTCTTCTCCTTTCACTCTGTCCCCTCGCTTCCCTCTCCCTCCCTCTCCCCTCTTTCTCGCCTCCGTTCTCCCTCCCTCTGCGCTCCCTCACGCCTTCCCCTTGCCTCCCTCCTCCAGCAACGGAACCATCACATTCTCAGCGCGACTTGAACTCTCCCAGCCCGAGCTCCCTTCCTCCATCTCCATCAACACAGCCGCCAAGGGCGCCACGGGTGACGTCCTTATTGACCTCTCATCTGATGCCACGTGGCAGAACGTTACTGACATGGTCATTATAGCGAAAATGGCGAGGCCTGGGTTTGGTTTGGATCGGCCAGACCGGAATCCGTACGTGTATGTTTTCAAAGGTTCGTGGAGGAATGCAGCAGCGTTGACTACTACAGACGGAACTACGTATAAGGAGGTATTTGCTGATATAAGCAAGTCGCCTGCGGCATTCTATGCGACGGTTGAGACAGAGAGATTTATATATGGTGCTGCCCGCGGGCAGTTTGCAAAGCCTAACCGTGGGTTGGGCATATTCAGAAAAGCTGGTAATTGAAGAGTGTATATTTGCATGTTGTAGGTTCTTATTGGCATGCCAACATGCCTGCCATTTCTTTCATATAAGGTACCGTTGAATTGTTATGTTTCTTGTGAATCGGTGCCTGTGAATTAGTGGTACCGTACCATGCACTGCATAGCTGTCCTGAATGTTATTGCACTTTTAGGCAGCTTTTAGTGGAAGGCTACTTCTGCCCTACAGGCGAACTCAATGCACATCTAGGGAGACTGCACCATTCGCATTCATGAGCAGCAGACGCCACCTTTCGTCAACCCAATTTCAACTTCAGTAATGTTGAAACTTTGCCATTCTAGACTCGGGCTTTAATCAAATAATAGACAGTGCATGCAGAGATCCAGCGGCGTAGCATGTGAGAGTGTCATGGCATGTGGTTTGATGCTACGCGGGAGTTGCAAGGTAGGTAACTGTGCTGCATGCCAACCGCATGCTCGCTCACTCCCATCCCATGACCGGCCACCACAGCTGATGCAGTGAAGTCGCTTTTTAATTTGTCTCAGGTGCGGCCGCCATTGTCACTGCCACTATCACTGCTGCTGCTACAACCGTTGCCCCCCTATTCCCCCTGGCCCCCGTTCTCCTTATTCCCCCCGCCATCCCTCGACTTCTTTCATTTCCCCTTAAACTCCCCCGTAACCCCGTTCTCCCCATTTCCCGCATTCTTGCTAGCCCCCGGTCACACAAATCCCCCCATTATCTCAGTCCCTCTGTTATCCCGGCACGTGCCATTCCAGCCCCCATTCCCATCCCACCCGTTCTTCACTCCAACCCCATTTTTCTCCCCCTTCTCAACTTTCTACTTCCCCTCATGATCCTCATTCCCCCCGTCATCCCCATTTCCACTGGTATCCCCATTCCCCCCGTCATCCCCATTCCCACTGGTATCCCCATTCCCCCCGTCATCCCCATTCCCACTGGTATCCCCATTCCCACCATTATCCCCGTTCACCCCATCCCCCCCATTCCCCCCACCCCCCACCTCCCCCTCGTGCAGGGTGACTTTGAACACAAAGGTGCCCCAGTTGCTCCACTCGGTGCGCGGCTGCCCCGCCACATACTGTACTGCTGCCCACGCATTGCCCTCCTCATCCACTGTTGCCGCCATGTAGTTTGAAAACAGCATCCTGTCACTCAGGTACCCTGGGGGAGAAGAGAGTAAATTTTTGAAAGGGGTCGATGGCGGGAAAGAGAGGGGTAGGGGGTGTGTTCTTTGAGGCGCCTCAAAAGCTGTCTCACGTTATGAGGTGCCTCAAATGCAGCCTCTGCACTGCATCCCGACGTTAAACGTTGCCAACAGACCTAAGGGAGGTAGGTTTTCTCAGCCCGGAATTTTCCCAGCCAACAGAGCTTGTCTTACAAACTAAAATACCAAAGCGCGCAACAGCCACACGCCAGGAAGCGGACTCACCAAAGAAGCCGTCGAGAGGCAATTTTTGAGGCGCATAAAATACCACGCGCCACAAAGCGGACTCACCAAAGTAGTCATCGAGAGGCGCTTTCCCCGCACCAACAACATTGATGCGGCCGACATCCACATTGGCGTTGAGAGTGGCATAGGCAGCTGAGGGGTAGAAGGAACGCCCTGCCAGCGATGCTGCCATGATGCCCACGCCTTGGCTGCGCCAGGGGAGTGTGGGAATGGGCAAGAGAGAAAGAAGACGGGCTGATTAATGCTGCTATCATGCCCACGCCGTGCCAGGGGGAAGGAGTGAGGAGATGGTAAGACGGTCTTGAAGCCCTGCTGGGTTTTCTTTTAGTGCAAGACAGCCGCATTCTGCATTCTGCATTCTGCATTCTGAATTGCATCTCAAGTGCTCATGCAATCGCTTCCTTCTCCCTCCTTGCCCCTCCAACCCCCCTCCCTTCTCCCTGCATCTCCACCCCCCCTCTCTCCCCCACTGCCGCTCCACCCCTTCTTCCCCTCTCTCCCACCTGTTGAGAGCGATGTTCGGCTGAATGAGGCTGTTCCCTCCGCCCACCCCCACCGCTTTGAACCGCTCCAGAAACACCCGGAACGGGCGCCACCGGCGCTTGAGCCTCAAGGACAAGCGAAGGCGAGCGACCGTGGCAGAAGCACTCATGTCCTTGCCAAAGGCAGACATAAAGCTCACCCACATCTGCCTCCTCCTTGGAAACACCACCACGCTTCTTGCAGCTACATATCCCGGGCCAATGGGTCTCATCGTGGTGTTCATCGCCCAAGCCAAGGGAACAGGTCCGGGTTTCTGCTCTACAGGCCCGGGAACAAAGTACGGGGGAGTGTTGACAGCAGCGCAGTGTGGCTCAACCACAGTCTCGGCTTCAGAGGTCCCAAGGGCGCTTGTACCCGTTATAGCAAAGGCCCCCATTGTGGTAAAGTTGGCGACAAGCACGGTTTCGTTAGGAGCTCCGGGGGTGGGGTTGACTGCAGTCCAGCCGAAATACATGGTGCCGCTGTGGCGGTAGTCGTATTCCCCGTCTGCTGCGACCTTCTGAGAACGCTTGCAGTGTAAGGGACGACGAGGCGGAGAATGGTGGCATTCTCTGGCCTTTGGATCTGTGGCTTGGCGATTGCACTGGTTGGGGAGGAAGGGCAAGGGAGGAGGTAGTGGGACAGGAAGGCGCAGGAAGGGGGAGGAGAGAAGTGGAGTGGGAGGGGAAGGAGGGGGTAGGTGAGGGGAGAGAAGGGGAAGACGAGGGGAAGAGGGGAGAGATGGGGACGAAGATGATGGGAAAAGGATGGGGAGCTGATGGGGGAGGGTGTAGGCTCACCCCATAAAGCCAGCAATGCTTATCCCACCTGCAAAAACCTGTATTCGATGTGTGTTTGAGAGACGAAACAATCAGTATAAGCTCGCCCCGGTGTCTCCCCAACAGGTTTGCTAAAACGGTTTTTGAGGCGCCTCACACACAAAGCACTCACTATATGCTCGCCCCAAAGTAGCCCGGTGTCTCCCCAAATTGGTTTACTGAAACGTAAATTCCTGGGAGAAGGGGGTTGCAAGCAGGTGGAATGCACTTGAAGGTCTAGAACCGCAGCAGTGGGATAGAGGCTATAGAGCTATGTAGGAGATTGAGCTGGAATATGTTAAATCAAGTAGAAACATGAAAAGTAGAAGCAGAAACATGGGACTGCGACTAATGTCTAGGAGACTGATCACGTACGATTGACAAAGGTTTTTGAGTCGACTAAAGAACTGATCACGTACGATTGACAAAGGTTTTTGAGTCGTCTAAAGAACTGATCACGTACCATTGGCATCGGTGCCGATTTGGGGATTGTCCACTGATGACGGCAGATTACAAGAAAAAGGAAAGGAGGGAGGGGAGTAGGGCAAGAGGGGGGAAGTGTCACATTAAACACGTAAGTGACACCACAAGTGGGCAACGACAGAAGCAGGCTAGGTGACAGGGTTAGGATTAGGCAAGGGCTTTCTTCAAGAGGGAAAGGCGTTAGAGGAGCAAGCAATGGGCATTTGCATGGCATGGCAGGGATGAGAAGCACGCGGACAAGTCGAGAGAAATAAATATATATATATATAACTAAATAAAAAAATAAATCATGAGGTGGTTTTTGAGTTGAGTAAAAAAAACATCATTCGCATGGCATGGCAGCAATGAGAAGCATACGGCCCAACACTCCCACCATAGCATGTTCCACCATAGCATGTTCCACCATAGCATGTTCCACCATAGCATGTTCCACCATAGCATGTTCCACCATAGCACGTCCCATCATCCCCACCAGCAGCAGCACCCGAGCCATCGCTCACACCATCACCATCACCCGTGCCATCACCATCACCCGCGCCATCAACCGTACCTTCGCCCACACTGTCCTGCACACCACCATCGAACGTACGGAAAGTGGTGAGTCGAGATGTGTCAAAGTGGAGAGGGGCCCTCCAATCCGGATTGGAGTTGATGCCGTCGTTGCTGGGAGAGGGGAGAGGTAGGAACGAGTGGGAAGGAGAGGACGGAAGTTGGGGAGAAGACGGAAGTTGGGGAGAAGACGGAAGTTGGGGAGAAGACGGAAGTTGGGGAGAAGACGGAAGTTGGGGAGAAGACGGAAGTTGGGGAGAAGACGGAAGTTGGGGAGAAGACGGAAGTTGGGGAGAAGACGGAAGTTGGGGAGAAGACGGAAGTTGGGGAGAAGACGGAAGTTGGGGAGAAGACGGAAGTTGGGGAGAAGACGGAAGCTGGGGAGAGGAGACAAGAGGGTATGAGTGGGGAGCAAGGAGGGCAAGACAGAGCAATGCGACAGTGGGAAACAGTGAGATCACGAGAAACAGAGGTGGGAAACGGTGATGTCATGGGAAACGGTGCAAGACGGTGAGCAATGTGAGAAACAGCATGAAAGAGGGGGCGAGCGTACGAGCCGGGAATAAAGAAGACGTTCCAGTCCCGGGTGGGGTCGTCCGTGGTTGACGCTGCCACTATCAGCCCCGAGCCCACTGTTGTGTTGCCTCGCCTCCTCGTCTGCCCAATCTTGTCATACGTGTTGTTGAATCCCCCTGACTGCCCGTGGGGAGATTTGGGAATGGGAGGCCAGCCAGGGAAGAGGGAGGTAGAGGGACGGAGGAATCGAACGAGGAAGAGAGCAACGGAGGGAGAGGGAATGAGGGAAAAATGAAGAATCGCTCGCTAGGCCCCGCACTCACAGTCGATGTGGCAGATAGGTAGAGAGGTAGAGAGGTAGATAGGTAGAGAGGTAGAGAGGTAGAGAGGTAGAGAGGTAGATAGGTAGAGGGGTAGAGAGGTAGAGAGGTAGAGAGAGGTAGAGAGGCAGAGAGGTAGAGAGGTAGAAGCACTCACAGACCAAGAGGCAGACAGGTAGAAGCACTCACAGACCAAGAGGCAGAGAGGTAGAAGCACTCACAGACCAAGAGGCAGAGAGGTAGAAGCACTCACAGACCAAGAGGCAGAGAGGTAGAAGCGCTTGGCTTGGCGATCAAAGGTGCACGTCATAGAATTAATGAAGTCTCCTAACACTGACGTGTTTTGCGGCACCCTCCTCTCCATCCACCACCCGTGGCAGCGCACCAAAGAACTGCCACGAGGGGTTTGAACATGAGGGGCGGGAGGAGAGGAGAGGAGGGGAGGGAGAGAGTGAGAGATGAGGAGGGAGAGGAGAGAGGCCCTCATTTTGGCGGCCAAGAGAGGGAGGGGTATAGAGGACAGGAGGAAGAGATGACGGGAGACAGAAACCGTAATGTGGTACTACAGGGACCTCTCCATTAAACATATGGAGTTGCAAGAATGTGCATATGTATGCGCGCGGCTACGTCTCGCATGTGAGCGTGTACTTGCCTCATTGCTTGTGATGATGCGAGTGAGCTGCTTCCCTTGCTTGTCATACACAACCATCGCTGCCAATGGGGAGAAGAGGAGGGGTGGAGTGGGTGGGGGGTTTGAGGGAGTGGGTGGTGAATGGAGACGTTCTTTAAAGGAATGGAGTGAAAAGAGGGAAGGAGAAGTCACGGAAAAGCTCTCAATAGTAACAGTCAATCACAGAGAGGAAGCACGGGGCAGGGAATTCCGCTTACCAATATTGACCGTATGAAGGATGTAGCCATTACCCACACAAAGATAAGGGTCGGGAGGGGAAACACGGACCTGAAACGTAACAAGGAACGTCATTAATGAACGGAAGAGGCCAACTAAAGGAGGAAGAACATCTTATTGCACGTAAAATATGTGCACAATTTATAAAGAATATTCTTACCAATGTATTGTTGTATTTAGGGGGTGTACCGCTATGAACCTCGTCGTATATGTTAATACCGGGAAACCCAACCGCCGGTTTCCTCTTCACGACTTGTTTCAGCTCCGTCGTGCGCGCCGAAAGTTCCCCCACCTCCGCCAATCGCTGCTCCTGTTAGGGGAAAAGAGCGAAAATAAATCAATAAAAAATAAGAGCAAATGAAAACTTTGTGAAAGCAATAAAAATATTATAACGGAAATGTAAAACTATTTGTTGCTTTCATTTAGAGAAGGGTAACGTCACGTTAGTGCACCATTTTGCGCTACGATCGTAGTAAATTCGTTAACAACCCTACCGACGGAGAGAATTATTTTCCTGAGCATGTCCTGAACCCTGTGCCTGAAGCAAACTTGAACTTGCACCTCCTCAGCCGAACTGCCCAACAAGCCTACCATGGGATCCACACCAGGGGCTGGTGCGCTTGCAGCGGCCGATTGCAGCTTCCGCTCGCTCCGATTCTCGCCGCTCTCCCCACTGCCGTCGTCGCTGCCGTTGTGGCTCGCCGCGCCTTCAGGCGCCGGCGGCAGCTGCGCGGTTCCGGCGAACCAGAGGTTCTCCGCCAGCTTGAACACCTCCACGCGGTCGTCGGATCCGCGCATCGGCGCAATGACGACGCGCGACGCCGCATTCGCTCCCCGGGGCGGAGCTAGCAGCTGCAGTAGAATCGCGAGCAGCAGTGCGGCATGACGTTGGTAGTAGCTGCATAGACGCGGGGGGGGAATTCGTGGACTCCTCGGAGCCATGGCGGAGCAGAATGCAGGACTTTCGGTCAACACCTCGGATTGCGACCTGATTGCAACTCAAGAGTGAGCAGACGGCAGATATGGAGAGATGAGCTCACGGAGAGCAGTTCTCCTTGGTAGTACCAAACCAAGCCCTTGTTCCGACTCGGAGGCTTCAGAATGACGTGGCCGGACGTGAGGTTCGTTAGAACAGTGGTCATTTTTTCAGGACTGAGGGCGTTCGCAAGGACGTCTCTAAGCCGCGACACGCGCAAGTGACTTCCAAAACTGACAAAAATATAGAAGGTTTGGGATTGGTTGAAAAGGTAGTGGCTTATGTGCATCAGTCTTCGAAGTCCGTACTATTGTAAAGGTTTCCTTCCTCACCGCAAACTTTTCCAACGTGCCAATGCATTGGGTCACGGGTGTGGCCCGGGGTTGCTGCTTCCGCCGCGCGAGACTGCACAGGGGGACGGCAATATTTCAAATAACACGAGATGGAAGTCGACTGGATATAAATATAATGTTTTTGATGATTCAGATAAATTACAAGACATTGAACCAGAAGCTTCAAGCCCTATCATCCTCAAGCTGCTTGTGCCTAAATTTAGCAAATACATCCAGATCACCTCCAAGGTGAGGCATAACGCCCAAGTGCAGAAATCAACAAGTTGCTTATAGACCTACTTCAACAGCACCAATTTCATTTCTGCTGCCTCCTTTGTGCGCAAGGGAATGGACCTTGGATCATCCGCAAGCTGCGGAGGCCCAAGTTCAGCAGGTTCATATCATTTCCAAGTCAGATGATCATGAAACGCAGGCACAGGCTCAGTAGGGCGAGTTTGAGGTGAGATGTGACAGAACACAGCTTCATTGCGGAAAGTTACAATGAGTTGAGCAGAAGGGTATGAGCAGCAGTTGCAGCAGTCAAATGATGAACATTTTTGAAGAGTTAAAGCAGCATGTGAGAATGGCATGGCGCGTGATGTGATGCTGTGCGGGAGTTGCACGGGAAACAGTGCTGCTGAGGTAGAAACACATGAGTACGATGGCATCTGCGTGTTGTGTGGTCACCACTGTGCTATAATTGAGTCGCTTTTGAGATTTCTCAAGATTGCCACCATTGTCACCAGTGCCACTGCCACTACCACTGCTGCTGCTGCTGCGCCCATTCTACCCCCACAGGTCCACTCCACATCATGCGGGCGAGTAGGCACAAGTCACATCCTTGCTTGCCTCAAGCATTGGCTTTTGAAGCGCCTCACAAGTGCGGGCGAGTAGGCACAAGTCACATCCTTGCTTGCCTCAAGCATTGGCTTTTGAAGCGCCTCACAAGTGCGGGCGAGTAGGCACAAGTCACATCCTTGCTTGCCTCAAGCATTGGCTTTTGAAGCGCCTCACAAGTGCGGGCGAGTAGGCACAAGTCACATCCTTGCTTGCCTCAAGCATTGGCTTTTGAAGCGCCTCACAAGTGCGGGCGAGTAGGCACAAGTCACATCCTTGCTTGCCTCAAGCATTGGCTTTTGAAGCGCCTCACAAGTGCGGGCGAGTAGGCACAAGTCACATCCTTGCTTGCCTCAAGCATTGGCTTTTGAAGCGCCTCACAAGTGCGGGCGAGTAGGCACAAGTCACATCCTTGCTTGCCTCAAGCATCGCCCCAGCTCCTCGCCCTCACCCCCCCTCACTGTCCAGTGCCCCCACCCATCAGCCCCACTGCCCATACATCCCATTCCCAGCCTTCCACACTCACATGCTCTCACACTTCCACACTCACATGCTCTCACACTTCCACACTCACATGCTCTCACACTTCCACGCTCACATGCCCTCACACTTCCACACTCACATGCTCTCACACTTCAACACTCACATGCTCTCACACTTCCACACTCACATGCTCTCACACTTCCACACTCACATGCTCTCACACTTCCACACTCACATGCTCTCACACTTCAACACTCACATGCTCTCACACTTCCACACTCGCTACGCTCCCCGCAACCGCTGCTGCCAACGGCCCCATTTCTCCCCTGTCCCCTCTCCTCCTTATTCCCCCCACTTCTTTCATCTACCCTTGAGTTCCCTTTTCCCCCGTTCTCCCTTTTCCCTCCAGTCCCACTTGCCCCCATCATACCCGTCCCCCAATTCTCCCTGCTATACCCATTCCCATCATTCTACTCCCCATTCCCATCAACGCCCGTTCCCCCACTACCCCCATTCTCTCCCTTCCCACTGTTCTACTTCCCCTCGTGATCGCCATCCCCCGCGTCATCCCCATCCCCACTATCATCTCCGTTCCCCCCATTATCCCCATTCCCGCCATTATCCCCATTCCCCTGGTCCCCATTTCCTCCATCTCCCCCGTCCCCCCCGCCCTCCCCCCCCTGCAGGGTGACTTTGAAGACAAAGGTGCCCCAGTTGCTCCACTCGGTGCGCGGTTGCCCCGCCACATACTGCACTGCCGCCCACGCGTTTCCCTCCTCGTCCATCGTTGCCGACATGTAGTCGCCGTACCGCATCTTTGCAGTCTCATGCCCTGGAAGGGGGGAAGGAGGGTGGGGGTTGGCAGGGATTTGACTCAAGCGTAGCCGACTTGTAGCATTATGGCAACTCACCAGAGTAGTCATCGAGAGGCGCTTTCCCCGCGCCAACAACGTTGATGCGGCCGACATCCACATTGGCATTGAGAGTGGCATAGGCAGCTGAGGGGTAGAAGGAACGCCCTGCCAGCGATGCTGCCATGATGCCCACGCCTTGCCTGGGGAGGGCCAAGGGAGAGAGAGAGAAAGGCAGGTGAAGGGAAGGAGATGGGGTTGTGTGATGGCCTTACCATGCGTGGATGGGGGCGTGAGTGGATGGCGGGAGGGCGGGTGTGTTGGTGGAATGAAGATGGGCAAAATGCTGCTGTAAATCTCTTGATGTGCTTAAAAGGGTGCTCTTGAGCACCAAACAGCATGGTGCATGTCAAGTGCTCGTGCATATTATCCTGTTGAGGGGGAAACGCATGAAGATTGAACCTAAGAGGGTAGATTCTCCCCACACCCTTCCCCTTTTGCCGTCCACCCCCACACCCTCCCCCGCCATCCACCCCCTCCTCCCCTCTCTCCCACCTGTTGAGAGCGATGGTTGGTTGAATGAGGCTGTTCCCTCCGCCCACCCCCACCACTTTGAACCGCTCCAAAAACACCCGAACGGCCTCCACTTGCGCTTGAGCCTCAAGGACAAGCGAAGCCTCGCCACCACAGCAGAAGCACTCATGTCCTTGCCAAAGGCATAAAGCTCACCCACATGTGCCTGCTCTTTGGGAAGACCACAACTGCACGGACACTAAAAAGTGTGGGGCTGATGGCATGGATGGTGGAGTGGAGTCTCCAAGCAGTTGGCACGGGCCCGTTCTTTTGCTGAACATCATCCATTTTGAAGAACGGTGGAGTGGTGACGGCCGCACAGTGAGGCTCCACCAAGCTCTCCGCTTCAGGGGTCCCCAGAGCACTTGTACCCGTTATAGCAAAGGCTCCCATTGTGGTGAAGTTTTGTACAAATTGCAGTTCCTGTGGGGTATGGGGGGTGGGGTTGACCCCGGACCAGCCGAAATGCATGGTGCCGCCGTGGCGGTAGGCGTAGTCCCCATCAGCAGCAACCTTCTGAGGGAAAATGGTGACGGCTGAAGGCGGATGATTGGGGCACGGCGAAGCGAAGAACGGTTGTGTTCTGAGCGCATCGAAACGCACCACCCTTGAACTCGATGGCGCAATACTTGCAAACGCGGACAGCCCCGACGGTGTCAGGGCAGATGGGAACCTTGAAATGGTTGAAAACGAAAAACATGCTAAGAGTATTGTGGAACATAGGATGAAACACCGTTAGATGTAACGCGGTGGGATGTAACCGTGTGATCAGGCCATTTGATGCCAGTCCAGAGGGCAACGAGTCCATCAGCTCGCAGCACGACAGCAGTGGCAGAGTAAGGGGCGATGCAGGGCTGCTGGGAGTCCAGATGGAGAATGTCGGTGAATGGGGGACAGGCCTGGAGGAACAGGGGGGAGAAGGATGGGGGGAAGGGGGGAGGGGGCTGCTGGGAGCTGCTGGGAGTCCAGGTGGAGAATCTCGGTGAATGGGGGATGGGCCTGCAGGAGGGAAGGGAACAATGTGGGGGTGCAAGCAAGAACTGCGAGTAAGAGAGCGGTGACAGAGGAGGAGGGGGTGATGCAGGGCTGCTGGGAGTCCGTTTAGAGTATCTCGGTGAATGGGGGATGAGCCTGGCCTGGAGGAGGGAAGGGAACAATGCAATGCGGGAGTAAAGAAAAGGAAGATGGATGCTGCGAGGTGTTTTTGAGAATTCTCAAAAACTCCCTGCAACGTCAGGGAAGGAAGATGGATGCTGCGAGGCAAAGTGAACAAGCCCTGTGAATGGAGGTCGCACCTGGGGGGGGAGGGAGCACTTGTTGGGGGGAGAACACACCTGTTGGGGAGGGGGCGCACCTGTTCGGGGGAGGGCGCATCTGTGGCAGGGAGGGCGCAGGTAGGGGGGCAGGGCACACCTGTTAGGGGAGGATACGCACGTGAGGGAGGAGGGTGCATGTGGGAGAGCAGGAGTGTAGGGCGCACCTGGGAGTGTGGGAGTGTAGGGCGCACCTGGGAGAGTAGGGCGCACCTGGGAGAGTAGGGCGCACCTGGGAGTGTAGGGCGCACCTGGGAGTGTAGGGCGCACCTGGGAGTGTAGGGCGCACCTGGGAGAGCAGGGCAGCGACAGCAGAAGCATCCACGTCCCACAGGTGCGCGAAGACTCCAGGGAAGCCACCTTGTACGGTCTGTGGGGAGGTGAGAGTGGGGGAGGTGAGAGTGGGGGAGGTGAGAGTGGGGGATGTGCAGAAAACTGTTGAACATCATACATGAACAGTAATTATGCATTGAACATTAGGTATGAACATTATATGAGAACGATAAGAGTGTACAGTAGGCACATACAGTGATGCAAAAAATCCGTTCGTTAAGGGAGGATTCCAAAACCCGCTCCCACTGGCTGATGATTAAGGAAATCGACGGCTCTCAAATGCTACCTCCTCTTCTCTTCAACCCTCTGCCTCCTCCCTTCACTCCTCCACTTCCTCCACTTCCTCCACTTCCTCCTCCTCCCTGTCCCGCCATTCCTCCCCTCGTTGCACCTTTATCCCTACTCCCTGCCGCCCCATCCTGTCCTCCTCCACTCTCAAAGTTATAAAGGAGGATATCCTCAAAAGTAGACCCAATCAGAAGCTGCCAATTGTACCGCTCCGAGTGGCTGAAAGCGACATCTGTGACAGTTTCAAATTTCACTAAACGGGGTTAAACATCCACTAGGGTGCGACTGGAGCGAAGGTGCTGCAAACGAATGATGCAATGGCGGGGACATTCTCCTCCCATGCCAGATGCTCCCTCAGCCTCGTGCAACAAGTCAGCCTCCGCCTGAAGAAACTCCTCTGAGCGCTCTTCCCTAATTGCTACACTGGATGCAACACCAGTAGCAGCAGCAGCATTAGGTGCGGCGCCCTGGTGCTGCTGGTCTGTGCGCGGCCACACAGGAATGCTCCCCATGACCACCAAGGTCGTGTCACTAGCAGAGATGATTGATGCTATGGGGGGGTGGAAGTGAGGCATGGATGCAGCAACAACCCCTGTCTGGGGATCGAAGGCTAAAGCCTGATTGTATACACACTCCAGCTTGGCCTGTGCTTGGGCATGCGTTGGTGACTGCTTTGACTGTGTTGACTGCGTTGACTGCGATGAATGCATTGAATTCTGCTGAATATAAAAGACGAACAGCCAGCAGAGCCCAAGTCCCACAGGCGCATGCTGTAAGATGAGAATATGTCTGTGCCCCCATCCCGCCCCTCCACCAGCAAATACCGAGGCCGAGGGCATGGCGTCTCTCCCTTGCACGTGCGACGCTCGGTAACAACCCCACCCTCCCACCACTCCCGTGGCCCTCGCTTGCCTTTCCGCGGCCTCCACCGCACCTGCTCCCCCTCTCCCTTCTCGCCCTCCCCTCCCTCCCCTCCCGCTCCTCCCTCTCCTCCCTCCGTATTCCCCTCGCCCCTTCCCACCCTCTCCAGGTCCTGCCACAGCTGCTGCTCGCCCATCGCCCCCTGCACGAACCAGAGCGAGCACCAGGGGGCTGCACAAGGCACGATGGCAACGCACGTCCCTCCGAATCCTCGGCGCTCTGAAGTGCTTCCTGCTAGCAGTGCCTCAGCTGAACCTTCTTGCACCACTTGGAACCCTGCTGGTACCACTTCCGACCCTGCTGGTACCACTTCCGACCCTGCTGGTACCACTTCCGACCCTGCTGGTACCACTTCCGACCCTGCTTCTCTTACATTTGCCCCTGCTCGTAGCGCTTATGGCGTTGAGCTACCATCCCCCCTTGTGGGCCAGCGGGGCAGGCTCCACACGCACACCGATCCGTCCTCTGCCGCACTCGCCACCAGCCTCCACCCATCCTCGTTACAAGCACACCAGATATCCTCGTTACAAGCACACCAGCGATCCTCGTTACAAGCATCTGCAGTGACAGCTCGAGAACATGAATCAGGACCCAGGGGGGGGTCCCCCAGGCTCTCAGAGAGAGTGAGGCGGGAGAGTGGGAGGGGGAGGGGGAGGTGGAGGGAGGCGAGGAGGGAGTGGGAGGGGAGGTGCCACACCTGCAGGTGGCCGTGAGATGTGCCCAGGAGGAGAAGCGTGTCGTCCACTTTTATCACTGAGACCGTGACAGCTGCTCGAACGTAGGGTAGAGGGAAAAAATCGCGCCTACGGGGAGCATGTGGGGAAAAATCCGCCTTGGGGGTGTTGCAGGTGGTTAGCTAACCACGACCTAAAGGGACCTACGTCGACCTAAGAAGAAATCGGTGTGACTAGCAGTGACTAAGGGGGAGTAAGGACCTAAGAAGAATATGAGCTACTTGTGTTGGGGCGGTAGATGAAGGAACACGGCAGCGGCGGAACCTATGGTGAGAAACGGAGAGAACAAGAGGGAGCGTGCGGATGTGGAGAAGATCAGGGCTGAAATGTCGAGATTTGAAGTGAAGTGAAGGGATGTCACGCCGGGTCAAAGGCGCGTACAAGGAAGTCTGAAATTCGAACTCGAGGCGCGTTCGGTGCATGGTTGGATTTGGAAATTGAGCCGAATACAAGTCAGCTCGAAATCAGGCGCGGCGCGAGGGCGAAATCAGAAATCCTTTTTGCTTATAACTTGCTTTGTGTTTTCTGTTTTTGTATGCCTTCTTCAATGAAATTACTTGAACTTTCTGCCTTGACGTTTTCCAGCAAATTCCTTCACACAGTTGAGGCCAGAGCTTCATATGCTTGTTAATAAGACTCTAAATAGTCTTCATAGTCTAGACTAAAGGCTGCGCACGTACAAGAGCTGGTATCAGAGCTGGTTTAAGGCGTGTTCTAGCGTTTTGAGGATAGGCGGAATATACTAAGTATGACGGACGATCATACTGAGGCGAGTTCGGGCTCCTCTGTGAGCATTGGAGGCTCAGAACTACAGGCCATCCTAACAGCGCTAGCACAAGCTAAATTGACGGCGAAGCCAACGATTGGGCTTAGCGAGGCCCAACGGTTCCATGGAGAAAATTATAGCACGTGGCGACTCAAGTTCATTCGTAGAGCGGAGGAAGTCGATCTCTGGCCATACTATCATCCCGACAAGGAGACGGGAGAGGGCATCCCACCATCTGCAAAAGAAAAACCAGAAGAAAATGCGTCATTCAAAAAAAGGAGTAAGCAGGCCTTTTTTCAATTGTGCCATTCGATTTCTGACAGCATTGCAGTGGGGCTGGATCAATTTGCGGGAGAGGAGAACTCTGCCGAACGAGCCTGGGAGTACATGGAAGCTGCTTACCTTGGGCTTACGGATACGAACAAAGCAGCCATTCGGAAGAAACTCCTTCTATTGAGTATGGAGCCGGGGGAGAGGGTCATTGACTACATGAATCGAGCGAAGGGGTACAATGACGACCTCAAGGCTATGGGGGCAGCTGAAACTGAAGGAGAAATGATGGGGTACATCATTACTGGGCTGCCCAAGGAGTGGGAAGCAGAGATAGGGCTCCTAACCTGCAACCCACCCGTGAATATGACCAAGCTGTTGGAGACGCTCCAAGCTCTGGAGCGGGTGAAAGCTGATCGGCTCAGGAAGGAGGTTAGCTTGAATGGAATGGGACCAGCCACTCATGCCATGGTAAACGCAGCAGCTACAGGGAAAGGATATGGAGGATTCGGGGCGTGTTTTCAGTGTGGAAAGAAGGGTCATAAGCAGATAGACTGCTATGACAACCCAAGGAGCAGAAATTTTAAAGGGAAATGGAGCGGTCTGCAGCAGAAGGGGCTGCATAACGGATGGTAGAGAGAGGGGGAGGTTCGAGGTGATAACAAGATGCAGAGAGGCGGATTTTCAGGGGCATGTCACTATTGCCAGAAAATTGGGCATAGGGCAGCCAACTGCTACTCGAACCCGAACAGCAGGAACTACCGAGGGGCAAACCAGCAGCAGAATCAACCAACAGCAGCAAAAGCAAATGCAGTGGAAGCTGAAAACAGTGAGGCGGACATAATTTTGGGGGGAGCTCACAAGGCAAACGTGGCAAGGGCATCGGGAGTGTGTTTGATGGCAAAGGGGTTTGGTGAAGCTGCGTGGTTCATGGATAGTGGCTGCACGCAACATATGACCAATCATCGTGAGTGGCTTACCGGATTGAGGGAGTCTAGTGTACCCTTCGTTCTGTTGGGCGATGAAGGAAAACAGAGTGTGAAGGGGGAAGGAGAGTTGCTGCTCCAGGGAGAGTACGGGGAGCTGAAACTGGAGAATGTGCTTTTAGTGGAGAAGCTGTCACTGAATCTGATCAGCCAAACTCAACTCGACAGCACGGGGTGCAAAACCTTCAGCGACAAGGGGAAGCTGTGGGTTTTCAATGAGGATTGGAAGGTGGTTGCAGAAGGGAACAGAAATCAGGGGTTGTATGAAATGAAGCTGAGGAAGAAGGGGCTGGAGGATGAGAATGCCACCTACCTGCCATCACTCGAAGGGGACCTAGCTAGGGAGGAGTTGAAGGCTCGGCTTGGTGGCTTACCTGTGAAGGAGCTGCAGCAGGAAGCTTCAGCCATGGTGGTTGGGATGGAGAAGGTGGAATTGGAGACCTTGCACAGGCGCATGGGGCATGCAAGCATGGATAGGGTCAAGGAGTTGGTAAAAAAGGGCATGGTAAAAGGTGTGGCACTGAAGGAGGGGGCTGGAAGCAAGGGAAAATGCAGCAAGTGTGTTGAAGGTAAAATCACAAAGTCCCCTCACCCCCACCACCAGGTACATGAGCCTTATGGCACCTTGGACATCGTAGCTGCCGACGTGTGTGGGCCTATGAGGGTGGCATCACGTCACGGCAGCCGCTACTTCGTTACCTTCACTGATTTGGGAACAAGGCACTCATGGGTGACGGAGCTGAAAGATAAAGCAGAAGTGTTTCCTAGCTTCGTGACTTGGATGGCGGAAGCGGAGCGGCAAAGTGGGAAGGTGCTGAAAGTTTTAAGGACAGATAATGGAGGGGAGTTTACTGGTGAGCTATTCAACAAGTTTCTACAGAGTAAAGGCATCCGACGGCAGCTGACTGTACCCTACACCCCACAGCATAACAGCATAGCGGAGCGGGTGAATCGGTCACTACTAGGCAGTGTGAGGAGCATGCTTGCCGACAGTGGGCTGCCACTGAAGTTCTGGGGTGATGCATTGGCAATGGCTTGCTGGTCCAAGAACCGCCTACCTACGAAGGGACTTCAAGCAGATATGACTCCCCACGAGGCCTTCTATGGCAGGAAGCCGAATCTGGGGTTTGCACGGGTGTGGGGGAGTATGGTGCAATACAGAGAGCCAGCTGGTCCGGATCATAAGTTGCTGCCCAAGGCTCATTGGGGGATTAACCTCGGTACCTGCCCAGTGAGCAAGGGGTGGGTGATAAAGGATGTCATTTCAGGAAAGGTCACGATCACCCCGGATGTTGTCTTCTACGAGGAGGTGAACTACCTGCAGTGGAAGGGAATAGAGAAAGAGATTGCAGCAGCAGGGACAGCATCTGCACCGGACAAGGTGGAGGATCTTTTGGAGGAAAAGGAGAGTGAGGGAGTTGGAGATGAAGGAGATGAGGAGCTTGAAGATGTGGAACGGGCAGATTCAGTCGATTGGGTGTGGGAGAAGGTACCAACCAGTGAAGCGGATGAAACCAATGGAGTGGAGATAGCAGGGGAGCAGCCAAGCAATGAAGTAGCTGAGGGTGGCAATGATGAAGTGGCTGAAGAAGAGGGAGATGAAGAATCAGCAGCTGAAGGAGATAGTGATCCTTGGAAGCTCCTAGATAGTGAAGACAGCAATGTCAAGATGAGAGAGATAGCGGACCTGCTTAAGGAAGGTGCCATCATCATTGGAAGGGAAGTGAAATCTGGAGATGAGAATGAGAAGGCAAAGGAGGATCTCAGTGGAGATGAGGCTGAATCACCTACAGAGGAGTTGGGGAAAGGAAAGAGGGTGAAGAAACCAAACCCTCGGTATGCGCAACTGCTGATGACGTGCTGGAAGGACATCCATACCCACCTTCTACTCTCTGCCACAGCTACTGACCTAGTCTCCAATGAAGGAAAAGTGACCCACAACCTGCCCAAAGAACCAGTGAGCATCGAGGAAGCGCTAGAGGGTCCAGAAAGAGAGCAGTGGAAAGCAGCAATAGAGGAGGAGTTGAACACATTGGCTGAAAGGGGCACATGGGAGCTCATGCCTATGCCGGAAGGGAGGAAAGCCGTGGGGGTGAAGTGGATTTTTTAAATCAAGACCGGAGATATGGGGCAGCTGGAAAGGTTCAAAGCAAGGCTTGTAGCCAAGGGCTACACTCAGGTGGAGGGGAAAGACTACCAACAAAATGAGATCTACGCTCCAGTGAGCAAGTTGGCAACGGCACGGGTCTTTCTCAAGGTGGTAGCAGCAAGAAAATACTTCATGGTGCAGCTGGATATTAAAAACGCGTTTTTGTATGGGGTGTTGAAGGAGGACATCTACCTCGAGCAACCACCAGGGCATGACGACGGCTCGGGCAGAAAATGCAAGCTCAACAAGGCATTATATGGGCTGAAGCAGAGTCCTAGGGAGTGGTACATGGCGATGGATGAACGGCTGCTGCAAGGGGGATTTCAGAAAAGTGAGTGTGATAGGGCGTTCTATTGGAAGGGAGAAGGGAAGGAGAAGGTGTTCATGGTGCTATATGTGGATGACATCTTGGTGGCTGGGGTGTTAGAGGAGGAGGTAGAGAAGGTGTGTGCTCATCTTGCGGAAGTTTTTCAAGTGAAGCAGATTCCGAGGACCACACTCTTTCTCGGCATGAATCAGGAGCGACGTAAGGAGGAGAGGAAGATGTTCCTATACCAGCAGAAATATTGCAGCAGGGTGCAGCAGAGGTTTGGCAACGACTACACGAAGGCAATTTCTACACCACTGAGTGGGGTAGCTGAAAGCGACAGTGAAAGGGAGGAGGATGTCAACCAATGGGGCTGCAAAGAGAGAGCTCTGCAAGTATATCAGTCTATGGTGGGGTCTATCATGTATCCGGTCTCATGCACGCGCGTCGACATGGCATACGCAGCTAGCTATCTTGGGCAACAAGTGCAGCAGCAAGGGGAGAGAAAATGGAGAGAGATGAGGAGGACTATTGACTACCTACTGCAACATGAAGATGAGGGGCTGTTATTTGAAGGAGGTGAAGAGACCTTGGAGTTAGTAGGGTATGCGGATGCTTCACATGCATCCGACAAGAAAACAAGGAAGGGAGCATACGGTTACGTGTTTCTGCTCGGTGGGACAGCCATCATGTGGCAAGCGAAAAGGTTGGCTGACATAGCGCTCTCTAGTGCGGAAGCGGAGTACATGGCTCTGTTTTTCGCGTGCCAAGAGGGGGTTTGGTTGAGAAGGCTACTCAAGGAGATGGAAATCAAGGTGGAAGGGCCGACAGTAATACGCACGGATAGCAAATCTGCCATCGACTTGGCTCACAACGACAATTGGCACGGGAGGACCAAGCATATGGATGTGAAGTATCATTGGGTGCGTTCAAAGGTGAGTAGCAAGGAGTTCAAGTTTGAATTCGTACGTACGGAGGCACAAGCAGCAGATTTTCTGACTAAGGTGTTACCAAGTGCTAATTTTGAGCGTTGCAAGAGAGAGGTTGGGATGCGTACTTTGGCTGAATTGCAGGGGAGTGTGGAGCAGGGCTAGAGGTGGTTCAAGTTGAAATGTGCGAGGGAGAGTGCATAAGCTGGTGGTTAGCAAACCACAGGGGAGATTGTTGCAGGTGGTTAGCTAACCACGACCTAAAGGGACCTACGTCGACCTAAGAAGAAATCGGTGTGACTAGCAGTGACTAAGGGGGAGTAAGGACCTAAGAAGAATATGAGCTACTTGTGTTGGGGCGGTAGATGAAGGAACACGGCAGCGGCGGAACCTATGGTGAGAAACGGAGAGAACAAGAGGGAGCGTGCGGATGTGGAGAAGATCAGGGCTGAAATGTCGAGATTTGAAGTGAAGTGAAGGGATGTCACGCCGGGTCAAAGGCGCGTCCAAGGAAGTCTGAAATTCGAACTCGAGGCGCGTTCGGTGCATGGTTGGATTTGGAAATTGAGCCGAATACAAGTCAGCTCGAAATCAGGCGCGGCGCGAGGGCGAAATCAGAAATCCATTTTGCTTATAACTTGCTTTGTGTTTTCTGTTTTTGTATGCCTTCTTCAATGAAATTACTTGAACTTTCTGCCTTGACGTTTTCCAGCAAATTCCTTCACACAGTTGAGGCCAAAGCTTCATATGCTTGTTACTAAGACTCTAAATAGTCTTCATAGTCTAGACTAAAGGCTGCGCACGTACAAGAGGGGGGGGGGGGGGACGGGAGGGGGGAGTGGGGAGGAGCAGGGGAGAGGGCGGGGGAGGTGGGCGCACCTGCACGTGAGCATGGCGCGGATTATTCCGCCAGGCCCTTCAGCTGGTAGGCGTTGGAATATTTCCAGAAGAATGGATCGCGGAAGTTTCGTAGCCTGATGAGACAAAGCGGAATCACTTATCGCCTCGTCTGGAGGCCCTTCGGTAACTGCCATTTCCGCGCACTTGCCGAGTGGAAGTCGAATTTGCTATCATGCAGCCAACTCAGACCCGGATTTTGAAATGGGGTGAACAGTTTGAGAAATATAACACTCTCAGACTCTACCAAATGTACACCGCGAAACGTACCCATACGTTATGCGAATCAATTTCTACTGGGTGTGCTCCATGGTATTCGGATAGTTGGGGTCATGCTTGATGACAGCGTCGCAAACACCCATGCGAAGCCTTTGGCGAAATGTGTCTCCAGTCCAGTTCCGCACAGTGCATTGTTTCGCACCTGTCTGTTTTCAGACGTTTGGCTTGGCGCCCTCAGTGCTGGTGGAGGGGCCATCAGCAGCAGCTTTGCCTGAACATAAACAAGATTTTGTGATCAAATCGGTCAATTATGGTATGGAATCCTAGATACGGGCTGTAGAGCAGGAACCTGCTCCACTCCAATAAGTGGGAGCAATCACTTCCGAGATTGCAGGGCCTGGTGTAGAAAAAACCTGGGAGATTGGGAGAATTGTTGAGCTCAGCACTAGTTAGGGGGGAATTGTTTTACAAGCCAAGGTGCTCAGGTGATCAAACAACGAGCTACATTTGTTGACTGCGGAATAACGTGGCAAGATTCTACGCCTGAACGAGCATCTGACATCTCTATGTTTCCCGCACCTGGCAAGATTCTACGCCTGAACTCTCGAAATGCTGCTCGCATCAGCCACATTTCTTCTCCACGCGGGGCTACCCACCTTCATATTCCGTACAGTGTTGGTTTTCTACATTGCGCACCGCTTCTGCACGGTGCTGCTCGGTGCTTGGTTGTCAGAGTGCATTGCTTCTCTCATGCCCACCACCACCGCCCATGCTGTAGGGTAACTTGCTGCCGATTGCTGGACTTTTCCATACACCTGATGCCTGTTTGAGCCCCTCCCGGTTGCCTTGTGAAGGGGGTGTATAAGCTGTAACGAGACTTTTCGCTAAGTTTCGTCATTTCGCAGGTAGCTAAAAAGGATTCGCATGTGCTTGTATACAAGATCTGTTACTGTATTTGACTTCAGTCTATTCTGCTTGACTTCGGTCTGTTCGTTACTATTGGTTGATAACCACGCGACGCGCTTGTAATGTAGGTGCATGAGGCTGGGGAAACAACCTCGGGTGCAGCGTATCCATCCGGCGCAGGGCAAATTCGCGTGCATGGGGTGAGCATCAGCTGTACTGATCACCTTCTCGGAAGTCCGCTATGAGTATTGGCCACAGTCGTTCTGAGCATGCCTTTGTAGCACTGTTCACCCCCACATATTCAACACCAATAGGTCGGTCGGTCCACTCCACTCCACATCACCACAAACACCATAGTCCTACAAAATAGAAGGCTATGGTGTAACGACACCGCAAACATGGGGTTTCTGTGCTGGAGTGTCGTTACACTCTGGCTGGTAGCTAAGACCAATCCAGCATTGCCACGACGATGAGTTACCACATCAGCTTGCAGCATCTTGAAGATTCTGTGTTGGAGGATCAGTGGCCGGCCAGGGCGTCAGTAGTGGGCCCTACTAGGCGACGAAAGCGGCCAAAGAAAGCTGCTTCCTCCGCGACGAAAGGCGTTAAGACGACCCCTTGCTTTTGTCGGCGCCAGCCTGGCAGTCGCAAGGGCGTGTGCGAGGAAGCGGTTCGCGCAAGGACAAATTAAGAGCAGAATTTTTGTTCATCCGCACGACGGGTGTTTGTCGGTCTTGTCTTGTTTCCTTGCTTGCAACATACAAATGTTCTCGTTTATAGTCCGACGGATCAACATCGCCGTGCGCGGACTATGTGGCAAAACCTTCGAACCCCAGGCAAAACGCGATACTTTTAGTCCCGTTCAGGAAAATTGCATGAAGAGTGGTTGTTTTGCTACTAGTTTCTGGAGTTTGGCATTTACGTAGATTTGGACCGCGCTTGCTTCAACTTCCAGTCGCACGGTTTTCCACGCTGATCAATGTCGCATGACTAACGGTTAAAAATAAAAATAAAAAATTGAGCCATGGTTTGGGGGTCGAATAGTAACCCAAAACTTATTTTCTACCCAGTAAGCGAGATAAACTAGAGAAGTATTCGCGGTCTAGAGAAACAATTACCTACAATTTAGAAGTTAAATATCGAATCGATGATCCCTTCTTCGTTGTTTTCCATTAATGTTGGGCTGGTTTGATCTGGAGCCTATGATTGGCTGCGGAGCTGATTCGTGCAATGATTCGGTCAAGCTGCCAAATTTCCCGCCAAAAACGGGACTTTCGGGGTCGGGCCAGCCCTAGGCGATATCGGAAAATTCTTCTCAGGGGGGAAAAGAGACTCTCTCAGCGAGGGCCTCTAACCCGGAACATCTGTACTGAACCAACGACAAACCTCTCCTTACATCGTCTCGCGTGCGTCGATGGACGCGCGTGACGCGGAGGACGAGTGGTGGTTTGAACTTGTACTGTAGTCCTCGCGACAAGCTCTCATCCCAGCCGCTCCTTCCCCGACAAGCCGCGAAAACCGAGGGTACAGAGTCTCTCTGTTACCTTCAGGGGCCTCGAAATCAGAAGGCGGTGCCAGCAATGCATCATCGTCGAAGCACACTCAACGGTCGCGTCGCGAACCGACTCTACATCATGGGGACGGACGGCGTCATGCTGCTGGCCAGAAAGTAGCGCATTTCAAGTTTCAACGTCCCGATGTCCGATAAGCGTTCAGCCCGCACTTGCTGCTCGTGAGCTTCATTTTACATCGCAATCCAGCCTCTGGATTTGGCTGCATAATCACCACTTTCGTAGCAGCTTCAACATTGATGAGAAAAGCAAAATTGCGGTGTGTCAAGGGCCTCAACACGTCACGATGGCGGTGTTCGCCAGCACCTTTGAGATTGCTTGAAAATGGAAGGCATCAGGCTGGCAACGGCATCAGGAAGCGGGGCCGGAACCCTCCGAAAAGGTTTGGGCGAAATGCCACCCACGAACTTTCCAGCCCCGCCATGAGAAACTTCTCAACCGCATATGGAACCCCACACCCCACCTTCCCCCAAAATGGGTCGAAATTTTGGCGCACTGACCTGGGCCTGCCCACACGCCAAAATCCACTGTACCAGGGTAAAAAAACGGGGAAAAAAAACCCCATCTCCAGAACAACCCCCATCTCTCCTCGTATACAAACCCAATCCCAAATCTGGTGGATCCATCTAGTTTAGGTTTACGAAATGGACTCCAGCGTATCATTCGAGAGAGTGGAAAATTGGGTGTAAACGAGGGCCTATTCGTGACTCTGGTGGCTGTGGTAGTGGTTACCCTCTGACAGCCAATAACATCGCCAACCCACGGCAGTCCACGTGAAATGGTGGACTGCCACGGGATGGCATGAGACGGGATGTTTGCCTGGGGAGGAAGTTACACCCCCATTTCCGAATGCCATGTTTCCATCCGAAAACTGAGAAAAATGAGGGCGTTCGCCAGGCACCAAAGATTGCTTTAGGTTCGGACGGCATCCTAGCTTCGGCACGAATTTTACGGGCTGACCAGGCTGACGGAGCTTAACGAACCCTAACTGACGGGATCAGGAAGGCGTGACTGACCTTCCTGATCCCGTCGTTTTCGTTTTCATAATTGCTGGCGAACAGCGCCGATGACAGCTTTACAAGCGAGGAAGGCGGGGTGAGAGGAGAGATGAATTTCGCTGCTGTTCAAGTATCACTGGAGCTCGCAATAGAGGTCAAGGTTCTTGCTCATGGCCGCTATAACAAATTCCACTACTAGTAGTACCAAGCATCTATCTTTCCCCCCGCTGTTGCCGCATGTTTTTGTCGAAGCTGCTGCCAGCACAATGGGTTCGGATAGTGATTCTCTGGCCAAGGAGGAACTTGCTGCTGCAGAAAAATCCAAAAACGCGTCAGGTCGTTTCGCCATGGCTGCGAATATCTTAGACGGAATTAGCGGAGGATTTCGCAGTTCACAGCAATTTTCCACGAGGCCGTCGCACACGGGTTCCCGAGAAAGACAGGAAATGCGTCCCAGATGGGGCTCGATAGGTTTAGGAGCGCGAGGTTGCGAAGATCCAGCTTCCACTGGTAGTCCGGCGAGGGATAAACGCTATGCCGCGGTTTGCGCCGATGAAAGTGGCTCGTCTAGCGCCGCCGGATTTGGACGTCAAGGAACAATAAGGTCGTCAATGACCGACGAACTGAAGACGGTAACGGACGAGCTGAACGCAATCCTGCAATCAGCTCCAGACCGACGTGACCTCATGGATAAAGCGGGTCTGCGAAGCGCGGCGGAAGTCGCGGGCTGTTTCGGCGACGGCAATCGGGAGCTGGTAACCAAGCAGTCGCAAGAACAAATGTTGCATCAGCAGCAGCAGAAGCAGCAGCAGCAGCACAAGCACGAGCAGATTGGCGATCTGGCGAAACGCTACCACCAGCTTGGTAACTCGTACCCAAAGGCTCAGCTGCTGGAAACCCGCCCTCTGCTCGTGCGAACGCTGGCGAAGCACAACTGGGAAGATGATATCAGGGGCAGTAACACTGAGATGAGCAAAAGGACGAAATGGAGTTCATCGGACGGTGGAAAAGGTGCAGATTGGGTTCGTTGGTCCAAAATTTCAAATGACACAAATGTACAGCAGCCAGAGCTATTGATGAGGCAGCCAATACCGCGGACGAGTCCAAACCCAAAGCCAAGCCAGCAGATGGAGCAGCCAAAAGTGCTCCCACGGCCGAACCAGCTTGTGCCTGCACTTCTGGTGCAACTACCCAGTAACGAGGATAATTTGTACAGTGCAACTACAAGACCGCTTGATTCTTTGCAGCCAGATACAGTGAAGTTGGAAGGGGCGGGGGGAGGAACAAATGGATTGCTAAGCCAAGCACAAATACAGCAGGTGCTGCTGGCCGCATTGATGGACGAAACTCCCTTGCCTCTGCCGGACAATGAAGCCGGCACCTTTTTCCCCGACTCTTGTCGTCAGGGTTCCGTCACTCTCGCTGCTCGTCCACCGCCTCCTGCTGCGAGAACTACTGCGTTTGTTCCTGGTCCCTTTTTTGCCAGACATGGCAATGGCGATGCCATTGGTCCGGTTACAAGTGTCGCTGGCGCTGCTGCTGCTGCTGGTGCTACTTTTGGTAAACCGAGACTCCCTGTTTCTGCAGCAATATTACCGGCTGCTTTTCCAGCTGATTGCTCCGATGTCGCCGGTGCGAGCACAGGTGGTGGTGCTACACGTACGCATGTTGCTTCTGCTACAAGCATGGATGTTCCTGCTACAAGCATGGGGGCTGCTGCTACAACCATGGGTGGTGCTGCTACAAGCACGCATGTTGCTTCTACAAGCAAGGGTGGCGCTGCTACAAGCTCGCCCGTGGCTGCTGCCAGCACAGGACTCCCAGGAGGACACACAACCGCAGTGGGGAATGCTGATAGGAGGTTGCTGCATGTGACATCTCGAACCACAGAATCCAAGTCGGGGAGCGAAAGGAGCGACCGGGAGGGCTTGGGGAATGTGGGGCAGAGGTTGCTGCGTGAGACACCTCAACCGACAGCATCCAAGTCAGGGAGCGAAGGGGCCGACCCGAGTGCTGCGGGGAGCACAGGCAGGAGGTCGCTGCACCCCCGCGCTGCAAGGGACAGAGAGAGGAGGAGACAGATGGCGTAAGTGGCTGGCTGTGTGTATCACCCGCCAAGGGCATGCACTATAATGGGAAGGCATCTCTTTTGTCCCAGGGTTCCTGAAAGGCTCCCCTTGCTACAACCTCATTGGAACCCTTTCCGGCTTCTCGTCTTCTTCCCGGTTCATATCTGAGTATCTTATGACTCATTTGGTTTTGGTGTTCTGACTTGTCTGGTCCGCATTCCCAATGTGTGTGCTGCAGTGAGTCGCTTCAATCACTGAGGGCCGTCCTGCCAGCTGGCATCCTCGGGGGGCAGCAAGACTTTGGCTCCATTATCAGCACTGCAGCACAGTATATAAGGAGCATGGAGGTGAGTACAGCTACGCACAAGTAATCTTATACAAAACAAGTGTAATACGGTAGGGGCAGTGCCTAATGCTCTCATTTTTCCGTGGGTAATCCCTCGCATGCAACTCATTCCCACATGGTCTTCACGAGGTTGCATTGCTTGCCTTGCCACATTGTGGTTGAAATGATTATCTGTAACTCTGCAGGCACGAGTGCGAGAACTGGAAGCCAGTGAGATGAACCAGAGCATGCCACCACACGGTCACCTATGAGTTTATGTATGTCACCTTTACTTGTACATAGATATGCATTGCCATTCATTGTACTGCATATACCATGTATCATATAGTTCCTCCAATATCTGAAGAAGCCAACTGCTGCATTGAATTCTCTTTCCACATTCTGGGCTACAGTATATCGATACCGGCGGAGATACTTGAGATAACGTACCACAGGTGGTGTCTCAGTCAAAGCATACTGGTAGTACATATTTTCCACCAGCCACGTTCAACGTGCAGAATTGGATATTTATCATGCAACAGCCACCGCCGATTCACTATAATGACACTGCTTGGGCACACGTGCACCGTTTCATTCGAAGTGGATAGTGGGATACATTCATGCTGCGTACGCCAATGTTACAGTATGTTGTACGGTAATCAAATTTCTCAGATATGCATGCACCGTCTCACTCGAAGTGCATGGTGGGATACTCATGCACGAGTCGGTTGTAATCGTAGTAAAGCCTCTCGCCCTTGGCAATCCGCCTCGTGGCAATCAGCAGCGCCCGGGCCTCCCCATTCACACTGAAGCGCACACAGCGCAGATTGATCTTCCTGCGACCCTCCCTGGAGGAAGAGGGAGGAGTGGGATAGGGGACATGAAATGCAGGAGGGGACTAAGGGAGGACCCAAGTGAGGGCAAGAGCGAGAGTGATGCTTTTCTTGAAAGCAGTGAGCAGACCAGGCCTCCTCATTCACAATGGGGAGGGCACTCATTCACAATGGGGAGGGCACTCATTCACAATGGGGAGGGCACTCATTCACAATGGGGAGGGCACTCATTCACAATGGGGAGGGCACTCATTCACAATGGGGAGGGCACTCATTCACAATGGGGAGGGCACTCATTCACAGTGGGGAGGGCACTCATTCACGGAGAAAAAGGGGGAGGGGTCAAACAGGTTGACGATAATGAGGGAAAGAGGGACAACAGCAAAGGACTGTGCTTGAAGGGCGGGCTTCGAGGGGCAGTAGACACAAGGGTATTGGAATGAAGACCGCAGACCCAAACACCGACAACAGGGAATTTCGGTAATGCATTTGCACAATCTGAATTTGTCAGTGCCAAATATAAACTGCACAAAGTTGGTTTGCCCTGGGATGCTGGTTAGTGGTATGAACCAAACATTTGATCAGACCCGTACCGGTGTCATCGTCCACTTGCACCCAACTCACTTGGTGTGGTTGTTGATTCCCGAGATGAACCGTGCAAAGTTTGCCGCCTCATCCGGGCAGATGACGAGATCCGTCTTATCCCGCCCGGTGAACAGTAACCCCATCATGGCATCGCACGGATCGTGCCGCCTCCGCGCCATGCTGTCAACCACCCCGCCATACTCCGTGACGATCGTGCGATCCGCTATAGGCGCATCCGCTTCCACTACAAAGCTGCCAACAATGGAAGGAAGTGGGGAGTGGGAACAGAGGTGAGGTGTGGGATGGAGTGTGTAGTAAGCAGGTGAGGTGTGGGGAAGGGATGTATAGAATGCTTACTGTGCACCCTAGACCTACAAATGAGAGACGACTTACCCTTGGCAAGGGTCGTGCTTGACAATCAGCGGTGGAGGCGCTCCGTCCCTCCACATCTCTTTGCACCGCTCCAAAACACCCACGTTCTCCCGGCTCAGCACCTGCATTCCCCCCACCTCCCTCCCGGGCTCGTTCATCCCCCTAGGCACGGCTTTAAAGGGGTATTCCAGCCCATCCACGAACCGCGCCCCAATAGCTGTCAGAGCGGTGGCTAGGGATCTAAGCTGCTCCAGGCGTCTCTCAGGATCCGGGACAGGCCGATGGGGGAACAGCTTTCTACTCAGCTTCACTCGGGTCTGCCTCTTCCTCCTGCCGCTGCTGCCACTGCTCGGGACTCTCCTTTTCCCGCCGCTGTTGCTGGCGTGGGAAGCGATGCTGCCGGTGCCTGAATTAGAAGTTAACCTAGAACCGCTAGTGTCTGTTACCATGCTCTCGTTTCCACTCCCGCCGTTATCACTGCCGCCACCAGCCGTTGCGTTTCTGCTGGCGGTGCTGTTGCGCTTCGTTCTGCACAAACTGCCACTGCAGGCGCCCAAACCGCTACTAGCAGAAGCGCCAGTGTTACTAGGGTTACTCGCACCTAAGTCTTTAGAGTTAGCACCTACGTTTCTAGAGCTACCGCCTATGCTATTCATAGCAGCATCTACGCTGCGAGTCTGACTAGCTCCTACGCTCCTACAGTCAGCATCTGCGCTGCTCCTGCTCCTACTCCTACCACCGCCGGCCGCCGCATCACCAGCACCCAATACGACGCCGCTTGATGCTTGTCGGCTGTGCTCCGTTCGCCGTGTGGTAACTCCGCTGCTCTGCCTGCTGCTATCTCCCTCGCTGCTCCCCGCGACGACAGGTTTCTTTCCGCGTACCTCATTAGCAGGGGTTACATCAGGTTTGGCGGCGCTTCCGCCGGCCGCGGCAGGTGTTTTCACAGGTGTGAGGCCAGGGGGGCGCTGAATGCTGAAAAAGTCGACGATTGAGCTCTGCACCAGGGGGAATTCTGGGACCGCGGGGAAAGGTTTTGGGGAGGCGCAGCGGCGGGAGAGGGGGAAGTCAGGGAGTGAGTAGAGGAGGGAGAGGGGTGGGGAAGGGTTGAGAGGAATGGGTGTGTGAGACTGCGACTTAGCGGGATTCGAGAGCGTGCAAGATAAATAGTAGACGAGTGTGTGATACGGGCGAGTTACTAGTAGAAGGGTTACTCAGTGTACGATGAAGAGAAGGTCAGTGCCGTACCTCTGGCTTCGGTTCGGAACCCGTACCTCTGATTTTGGCTGGGCGGCGGCAGTCTGGGCAGTACCACTGGCCGAGGGGCACGGCGACGAGGATTGGTCGCAGGCACCAGAGGTGGTAACCACGGTTACACCCACGTCCGTCGCACACAAGCATTCCGTCTTCGCCGTCTTCCCGGTCGCACACGTGGCACTTCAAATCGTCCAGCCCAGCGTCTGCAGGCGCCTCAGAGCGGCCGCTTCTGTGAAGTTGCTGCTTCACCTCTCGCACCTTTCCTTCCACCACCACCACCTCCTCCCCAACCCCCTCGTTCTCATCGTCAGAGCCCCCCTCGTCGCTGTTCTCCTCGTTTTCATCGTCGCTGTCCTCCTCGTCGTCCTGCGACGATCTGTCTTCTCTGATCGCATCCAGGCCGTGACACTCAGTAACATCGTCCGCATCTTCGTACAGCTCGTCGTCGTCTTCGGCAAGATCCACCACTCGCGGTTCTCCGGCGTCGTTTGCGGATCCACGGTTGCTCCTACTCGCCCTCTCACGTGCCTCTGAAGCGGGCTTGAATGTCCATGTCGTCTTGTCGCCAAGCCCTCCTCTCTCTATAGCTAGTCGTGTCTGTGCGATTCCGCGTCCGGCGCCATTCCCGTTGCGAATTTCGCTTAATTTCACGGGAATGCTGCCTGACGAGTTCCTAAGATCTGTCTGTTTCTTGGCTACGTGGCTTAAAGCCCGAGCAGACAACGGTTTCGTGACGGTAAGCAGCGAGTGAATGTCGACGCATTTCTTCTTCCTCGCGCCGTCGACGTTCGCGAAGGTGATGTTGCCAGCATGGCCTCGCTTGTTGCCAGTCACCGCCATTTCGCTGCTGGCCTGAATTATTAAAAAACCATCGAGAGCAGTGTAATTCGACTCGGCAAGCACTAGATGAGATACAATAGGACAAACGCGAGAACAAGCAATAGCTGCTCGCAATGCGTTGGTAGTTGGTCTAGGAGACGAGGCTGGAGAAAACCACCCCGTATTTGCTGCCGGACAAGCCTATTTCACCAACTACTAGCTTAGAAAGGCTCACAAAGAAGAAATGAGGAAGAATGGCTACTTCGAGGCCAACGTTCGAAGTTCATACGATGCATGAAGGGGTATGCCCACGAGCATGGATGGTAAAACATGGAGGGCTGGCAGGCAGCGAGCAATTTTCCAGGAGCCCAGAGAGTTGCCAAATGCCGATCCATCCCATCCCAAGGGGCTCTCAACAAGCTGAAAAGTGCCCCCCCATTTCCGCGCCAAACGAGCAAACTCCCCGCCGGAGTGTTTTGTGTGGGCCGCTGTCCAGATGGGATGGGACCTGCGTGACAGTCTCAGCGTGGGGGCGATTCGATGTGGTTGCGGCGGCGTGCCAGCTTCCCTCTACGCTTGCGCCAAATATTTGCGCGTGCCACTACACAACGGCCTCCCATCAACATTCAGCCGTTGATAGGGTAAAGGAAGTCGTATAGAACGTCTGGTGCCGATCACGGACAATTACAGTACAATACAAAAAGCACTGATAGCGCGTATTGAAGCAGTCCACCCACAGCTGCGCTGTCTCATCATCCACGTGGCAGCTTCTGACAGTTCCTCCGACACCTCCCCATCCATGACATGGCATCCAGGGATTCGGGCTCCAGTAAAGTTGGTGAGGATAGCGCCTCCTTGGCGATTGCGATTGTATGAACTCGAGGAACCAGCTTGAAACGAGTATCCTTCTGTCATCACCGTAGCGAGTGGCCAGGAGAAATTTGACTAGGCAGTAAGCAGCCGGGAGAATCCGAAGGCAGGAAGCTTTGTGCCTTTCCACCATACTGTATGGTTTTTACAACGCACTAAATCGTTTCGCACCGTACTAAAGCTGTTCACCCAGCAAGGAATTGTAATTTCACAACCTTTTTATCTGGTTCATCGCTCATTTCTCCGCCTCTCTCCTTGTTTCGCCTAGCGAACATCACCTGGTTGCTGTTGGGAACGGTATCACTCCGATAAGTCACGCTACGGTACTCTGTAGTTCCCTAACAGGCTAAAGAATATTCCGTTCCTTGACCGTCTCTTTTAGCTTCTATTGGAAGGGCAGTTGACAGGCATGGAGTCGCTCCTCCTAAAAGGAAGCACAACGCGGCCGCTTCCAAGCTTTCAAGGCCTTCGTGCCACGCAAACACCTTTCCGCCAGAGCTTTTCCGCCACGTCGTTGCCAGCTCAGCAATGGAGCAGCGCGTCGAGCAAAACCCTAGTGCGTGCAGCAGCAGCAGAGCAGGCCGATGCTACTCCCAGCAGGAGCTCCGGCGGAAGCGTTTTCGGCCGGGAGGTGGAACTCTCCGGCGTTCCCAGCGTCGTTAAGAGCATGCCGACGCCGGTTAGATACGCCGTTTGCGGCGCGATTATCGTTGGTTCTGCCGGCGTGGGGTTCGCGGCCGGCAGCAAGTTTCAGCCGCCTGTGGGACAGGTCGCTGGTGCCGTGGTGCTCGGCGCGCTTGGCGCGGGAGCCGCGCACGTGGTGAACTCTGCTAGTAAGGAGGTCGCTGCGGCGGATTTGCACAACACGCTTGTGCGTTTATCGGATCCGCTTCAACTGAGACGAGGCGAGGCTGCGGATATCGCAAATAAGTGAGCTGGGATTTGAAGCGTCTTTTCTGTTTTTATCCAATCCGTCGTACCTTTTATTGCGAAACAATGTCCATTTACTGTACATGGTTTCTATGAATCAATGTAAACATTTCTCAACATTTCACACTTCGTTGCTTTGTTCGTCTCCGTGTGTTTGCAGGTATGGCGTGAGCCTGGAGGACGAGAGGTACCGGGCGGAAATGAAGGATCTTTACGAAAAGTAAGCATCCCCTTTCCTCACTCCTTCCCACCTTTTCCCCACTTGGCTGACCCCCTCCTTCCCTTCCCCTTGTCCGTTTTTTCTCACAACATCACAAATTGAGACTCACGGGAACAAATTGTACTAATACGGAGGTTTCTGGGGCCCATGTTGTGTGATTTTTCATTCACTGAGACGCGTTCCGGCCCTCACTTCTCTTTCCCTCCCCCTCTCCCGGCGCTCCAGATTTGTTTCGTCCGTGATTCCGCCCGGCAACGAGCCGCTGAGGGGCGACGAGTCGGATCTGATTTCCCGCTTTAAGGCTTCGATGGGCCTCGAGGACGAGGATGCTGCTGCCGCTCATATCGAGGTACGCGACTGCGTATACCGAGTACATTGCTGTTCTCTTACCGATTATATATCAACTGTCTATAACGAGGTATGCCGCCTGCACTGTTTATGTCGAGCTGCTAACATTGTTCGTATCAAGTTAACAGTGCTTTCTTGTAACGAGCTCACACCGCTGCTCATATCGATCTAACAGCACTATTCAGATCGAGCTAACAGCATATCGAGCCGACGTTGTCCTTATCCAGCTAACATCACTGTTCGTGGCAATCCAACGGTGCTCTGCGCATGCATCAAGTACAGCCACGGCATCGCACGCCGATAGCCGCTCGTGCGTGTGTTTAGACTCAAGGCCCGTGCGCTTGTGTGTGAACATGTGCGTGTGTGTTTCCATGTTACCGTGTGCATGGTGCGTGTGTGTGCGTGTGCATGTATGCATGTGTGCGTGTGCATGTGCGCATGTGTGCGTGTGCATGTATGCATGTGTGCGTGTGCATGTGCGCATGTGTGCGTGTGCATGTATGCATTTGTGCGTGTGTGTACATGCGTGTGAGAATGTATGCGCGTGGGTGCATGGTGTCTGCAGGTGGGGCGACGCATTTTCCGCCAGAGGCTGGAGACGGGCGACAAGGAGGCCGCCTTCGAGGAGCGACAGGTAGGCGAAGGGTCGCGAGGTGGGCGAAGGATTTCGAGATGGGCGAAGGATTGCGAGGCGGGCGAAGGGTTGATAGACAGGCGAAGGATTGAGAGGTGGGCGGAGGAACGAGGGGTGGGCGAAGGAGCGAGAGGCTTTGCGGAGGAGCAAGTGGCCTTGTAGGACTGGAAGCGGTACGCTCGTAGGCTTGTTAGCGGGTGGATGGTAGGTGGCGAGTAGGTGGCATCGCGGAGAGGTGGTTGACATGTGATTGTACGTGAGTACTCGCTTGTGGTGAAGGTTCACTTATGGGATGATTGATACTTCAAGTTTAGATTCAGATGGATGAGGCATGTGAGGGTTCGGGGTTTAAGCATTAAACTATGTTCCAGCACCACCTTCAGAGCTTCGGTCGCGCCTGCCCACGCCTCTTCCCTTCCCCTAACCCCCTTCCCGTTCCCATCGTCCTCGCTTCATCATGATCACTGCCCTTCGGTAGCTAGTGTTTTGCGAATCCAATTTCCTGCTGCAGTCTATGCGCCTAATTCCCCCTCCTCCCCATTCCGCTCCCCCTTCTCTCCTCTCTCTCCTCCGTCACTCCCTTCCTCCCTCTCACTGCCTCTTCCATGCGACTGCAGGCGTTTCAGAAGCTGGTGTACGTGTCCAACCTGGTGTTTGGCGAGAAGTCCAAGTTCCTGCTACCGTGTATCTGGTTTTCAGGCTCCTAACTCCTCTCCTTCCTCTCTCCCTCCCCACGCACAATCCCTTCGACCGCAGGCGTTCCAGAAGCTGGTGTACGTGTCGAACCTGGTGTTTGGCGAGAAGTCCAAGTTCCTGCTGCCGTGGAAGCGCATCTTCAAAGTCAGCGACGCGCAGGTCGACATTGCTGTGCGCAACAACTCGCAGGCGCTGCTGCAGGCGCAGCTCGACGCCACCAAGGGAGGTGAGACTGATGTGGCATGGTAGGATCGTGCAGGCACGGAGGGCTTGACCGTGTGCATGTTGCCGTGCGCATCGCCGTGCGCAACACCTTGCAGGCGCTGCTGCAGGCGCAGCTCGACGCCACCAAGGGAGGTGAGACTGATGTGGCATGGTAGGATCGTGCAGGCACGGAGGGCTTGACCGTGTGCATGTTGCCGTGCGCATCGCCGTGCGCAACACCTCGCAGGCGCTGCTGCAGGCGCAGCTCGACGCCACCAAGGGAGGTGAGACTGATGTGGCATGGTTGGGTCGTGCAGGCACGGAGGGCTTGACCGTGTGCATGTTGCCGTGCGCATCGCCGTGCGCAACACCTCGCAGGCGCTGCTGCAGGCGCAGCTCGACGCCACCAAGGGAGGTGAGACTGATGTGGCATGGTTGGGTCGTGCAGGCACGGAGGGCTTGACCGTGTGCATGTTGCCGTGCGCATCGCCGTGCGCAACACCTCGCAGGCGCTGCTGCAGGCGCAGCTTGACGCCACCAAGGGAGGTGAGACCGGGCTTCCTCCCACTTTCACCTTGTAAATAAAGCACCAAGGGCGTTTCAGCTGCCTTTCTTCTAGGCGCCTCAGTACCTTTCTATGTGCATCCCTTCACAAACCCCCCAAGCCCCCACCCCCCACCTTCCCTCCCCGCTCCTCCCGCCCTGATTGGTACTGCTAAAACATTCAACGAATAATACGTCGTTCATTTTTGGTTCCGTAAGTATGAAAAATAAACGCTATATTTGTTCAGTCACTGACGACTCTGTTGGTCACTGCCTTTTGCGGTTACCAACTTGTCTGTTTCTGCCGCTCTCCTTCACCAATCAGATTTCACTGTGGAGAACCTCAAGGAGCTCCGGGCGATGCAGAAGAAATACAAGCTGTCGGACGATGTGAGTGACTCGTTATAGTGAATTCTCGATATAAGAACTTGTGCTGTTAGCCAATGTTATCCACCCAATTGATCCCACTGCGTTTATTTGGAAAGGAAGCTCATTGCAACAATGATTAGGATTGTAATGTGAACCGAACTCACACCTCTGCCACACAATCTCGTTCCCCTCTGCCCTCCGAACCTCTCAGCTTGCTGCGGACATGGTTCGGGCGGAGGCTCGGAAGCGAGTGGAGGAGTACATTAACGAGGCGCTAGAGGTGCTCAAGGCGCGCACACGCGTCAAGTGAGTGTGACGGCCGTGGGGGTGGGGGGTCACATGGGGAGGGGTGTGTGTGTGTGTTTGAATCAACTCACACAAGGCTTGGAAGCGATTGGAGCAACATCTGCGTGTTGTACAACGCATTGCGTGTTGTACAACGCATTGCGTGTTGTACAACGCATTGCGTGTTGTACAACGCATTGCGTGTTGTACAACGCATTGCGTGTTGTACAACACATTGCGTGTTGTACAACGCATTGCGTGTTGTACAACGCATTGCGTGTTGTACAACGCATTGCGTGTTGTACAACGCATTGCGTGTTGTACAACGCATTGCGTGTTGTACAACGCATTGCGTGTTGTACAACGCATTGCGTGTTGTACAACGCATTGCGTGTTGTACAACGCATTGCGTGTTGTACAACGCATTGCGTGTTGTACAACGCATTGCGTGTTGTACAACGCATTGCGTGTTGTACAACGCATTGCGTGTTGTACAACGCATTGCGTGTTGTACAACGCATTGCGTGTTGTACAACGCACATCTGCCTAAGATCAACTCACCGGTATGCCAGACCCCTCACCCTCAGATACCCATCCCCTCCCCTCCCCTCTCCCACTTCCCCCCCTCCTTGTGCTTGTGATCCTTCTCTTCCCCCACCCCCCCCTCCCTCCTCCCTTCCCCCCCCCCCCCCCCCGTTTCCATCACGGCAGGGACACGGCCAAGGTGGTGGACGATCTGGACGCTATGAGGGCGTACAACGCACACCTGGCTGCGCTCACCAAGGCTGCTGCGCCCGATGACCTCCTGCCCGGCATCGGCCCCGTCTCCGTCTTTGGTGCGCCCCTCTGCGCCGCCTGGCCGCTCTTCCCTCTCCCCCCCCCCCCCCCTCCCTCCTCCCCCCTCCTTTTTTCGCCTTTTACTCGTTTTTGGGAAGCGTTACGTGAAACAGGAGGTCTTTTTTTGTGCTCCCTTGTGCATCGCTGTTCGGTGGACGAATGGGCCATCAGCTCGTACGTGTTTCACGCTGTTTTGTGCCACTTCCCTTCCCATGCATTGCATGGCGTCGAATTGCATCCCATCTTATTGAATGGCTTCTCTTTGCATCCATCCGCACCGCACTGCACTGCACCAGGTGGTGGGTACGACACGGACAGGCAGATGGACGATCTGAAGCTGCTCTACAAGACGTACCTCTCAGAGGCACTCAACGCCCCCCGCCTCACCTCCGCCCAGGTGGGTCCGGATGCAACATGGTACTCGTATTGTATCTATCTCCACCGCACTGCACCCCACCAAACCAGGCAGATGGACGATCTGAAGCTGCTCTACAAGACGTACCTCTCAGAGGCACTCAACGCCCCCCGCCTCACCTCCGCCCAGGTGAGTCCGGATGCAACATGGTACTCGTATTGTATCTATCTCCACCGCACTGCACCCCACCAAACCAGGCAGATGGACGATCTGAAGCTGCTCTACAAGACGTACCTCTCAGAGACCCTCAACGCCCCCCGCCTCACCTCCGCCCAGGTGGGTCCTGTTAGCACTACACGTTGCATTGCATTGCACCCAGCTCCACTGTACTGCACCGCACCACCCTAGGCAGATCAAGCTGCTCTACAAGGCGTACCTCTCTGCTCTTCCCCTCCTCACCCCCCTTCCCTCCCTCCCTTCCCACTGTGTAGACCGAAGCACTGGCGGAGTTGAGGAATACCTTTGGGATGGGCAAGAGGGAGGCGGAGGAGGCATCAGATGAGGTGATTGATGTGGTGTGACTGACTCACCCATGCCATTACGTCCCGTCCATGCCCTTTCATGCAGACTGAGGCTCTGGCGGAGCTGAGGAATACCTTTGGGATGGGCAAGAGGGAGGCGGAGGAGGCATCAGACGAGGTGACTCGCAAGGTGTACCGCCGCAAGCTGGCGAACCTAACCCCTTCTCACACACCCTTTACCTCTCCCCACTTCCCCCCCCGCCCCTTTCGTCCCCCTCTTCCCCCTGTCTCCCCCTCCTCACCCCCCTTCCCTCCTTTCCCTCGGTGCAGACGGAGGCCCTAGCAGAGTTGAGGAATACCTTTGGGATGGGCAAGAGGGAGGCGGAGGAGGCGTCAGACGAGGTGACTCGCAAGGTGTACCGCCGCAAGCTGGCGAACCTCGTCACGGGCGGCGAACTGGACCGGGCGGCAAGCAAGGCGGAGGTGCTGCAGGAGCTCTGCGATTCGCTCAAGTTTGACCCAGAGAAGGCTGCCCAGATCCATGAAGGTGCGGTGAGGAAGGTTTTGTTGCGGTTTGGTGCGGTATGAAGTGGTGAGGAAGGTCTTATACTGAGAGGGCGGCAAGCAAGGCCGAGGTGCTGCAGGAGCTCTGCGACTCTCCCAAGTTCGACCCGGAGAAGGCTGCCCAGATTCATAAAGGTACGGGGTGGTGTGTTGAGGAGTTTTATTGCGGTTTCGTGCGGTATGAAGCGGTGGAGTGTGTGGCTGGCTGGGTTTATACTGAGAGGGTGGCAAGCAAAGGCCGAGGTGCTGCAGGAGCTCTGTGTTTCTCTCAAGTTCGATCCCGAGGAGGCGGCTCAGATCCACTGAGGTATGGAGTGCGGTGCTCTGCGGTGGATAGGCATGAAGTGCAGTGTCAAGTGGTGCTGCAGGAGCTTGAATCTGACAAGCTTAATCAGTCCAGTGCGTTTTTTTCTGGGTAGGGACTAAGGCGCGTCAAAGAGCGATGAAAATCTCTTATCAATTCACCCCACTCGACCCCATTCCACTGCATTCCCCCCTCCTCCACCTCCCTCCCCCACCTCCCCCTCCCCCCCTCCTCTCCTGCAGAGATCTACCGGCAGAAGCTGCAGCAGTGTCTGGCGGATAAGTCTCTCAGAGATGAGGACGTATCAGCTCTGAACCGCCTGCGCGTGCTGCTGTGCGTGCCCAAGTCAGCGGTGGACAAGGCGCATGGAGACATCTGTGGAGGCATCTTCACCAAGGTGGTGGACGATGCCATTGGCGCCGGTATCGACGGCTATGACGGCGACATGCGCGATGCTGTCAGGGCCGCTGTCAAGGGGCTCAGACTTCCTCTCCAGTCCGCTCTCGACATCGCCACCAAGGCGGTGAGTGCGCTCGGTGGGGGTGGGGAGCGTTGGGTGTGGTTGGGCTGGGTTGGGATGGGTTGGGATGGAGCAGCAGAGGGATGCTGTGCGTGCTGCTGTGAAGGGGCTCTGGCTGCCGCTGCAGTCTGCTCTTGACATTGCGACCAAGGCGGTGAGTGGATGCCTTATCGCAGTAGGCAGGAGAGAGGGTGCATGCAAGGGAGCTTGTATGAGTATATGCTCGTTCGCTCTCACCTCACCTTCCCCTTGCTCCCTCCCAGAGGACTGACGCTTGGAAGTGAGCTGATGAACCAGAACCTTCTCTTTCATCCCTCCCTCTCTCTGTCGTGCCCTCTCTCCCCCGCCCTTCCAGGTGTGAGCTGTCTTCCTGGCGTACATCAAGCACGCCCGCGGCACTATGAGCCGCGCAGAGGGAGCAAGGGAGCTGGACAAGATGGTCATCATCTCCAACCTCACCTCTTGCTCCCCCTCTCCTCCCCCGTCTCTTGCCCCCTTTCTCCCGCGTTCCCAGGTGCGAGCTGTCTCACTGGCATTCATCCAGCGTGCCAGAGGAACGATGAGTTGTGCAGAGGGCGCGAGGGAGCTGAAGAAGATGGTCATCTTATCCAACCTCACCTTGCTTTCCTCCATGCCTTTCCTCCCCTCCCTTTCCTTCCCTCCCTCCTCTTCCGCTGTCCAAATATCCCTCCCTTGCAGGTCCGTGCCGTCTTCCTGACATACATCAAGCGTGCACGAGGCACCATGAGCCGAGCGGAGGGAGCGAGGGAGCTCAAGAAGATGGTCATCTTCTCCAACCTCACTGTCTCCCAACTGCTCGACGACATCCGAGGCAAGACCGACGAGCCTGCCGCCAAGCCTGCAGGCTCGGCAGCCACCGGCGAAGGCTCGGGCCCAGCCGTGACAGCCGAGGCTGAGAAGGAGGAGGAGAAGGAGGCAGAGGAGGAGGGGTATGACGATGAGATGCCGCTGCTGCAGTCGATGAGGAAGACCAAGGGGCTGCAGAAGGAGGGCAAGGCACAGAAGGAGGTGTCTGTGAAAGAGGACCTGGATCTGAGGGAACGCCTGGACCTCTACAAGTCGTTCCTGCTGTTCTGCCTGCAAGGGGACACCACCGGCATGCCCATGGGAACCAGCCTCACTGTCCAGAGGGACACTTCGGATTTTATCCGCCTGTCGCAGCTGGGGGATATTCTCGGGTTGACCCCTCAGGAGGTCTCGTCTGTGCATCAGGGTCTGGCGGAGCAGGCGTTTAAGGTGCAAGCGCAGACGCTGCTGGCTGACGGGCAGCTGACCAAGGCCCGTGCAGAGCAGCTCAAGATCATGCAGCGGGAACTGGGCCTGCCGGACGCTGCTGCGCAGAAGGTGGTGCAGTCTATAACGAGTACGAAGATGGCGGGCGCGATCGACGCGGCGATCAAGGCCGGGCGGCTGAGCGTAGACGAAGTAAAGCAGCTCAAGGAGAGCGGGGTGGATATCGGCAGCATGGTGGCCGAGAAGGTTCGCCTGCAGATGTACACCAAGCTGGTTCAGAAGGAGTTTGACAAGGGCACGGGGGATTTCGACGAGAAGGAGCTGCTGGAGAAGCTGCCGGGAGATCTGGGGCTGGAGGAGGAGGTGGCGCGGAAAACGGTGAAGGAGATTGCGAGGGAGCGGCTCAAGGGGTCGCTGGTGCTGGCCGTGTCGAACCTCCGGCAGAAGAAGCCCGACCTCGTGGTGCGTGCTGTGCTGGGATGGGGGGCAGTGGGATGGGGGGTGCTGGGATGGGGGGAAGTCTGGGATAAGTGGTGGTGGATCGGGGGTGTTGTGATGAGGGATGGTGGGATGGGGGTGGTTGGCTCAGTGTTGGTGGGAGTGGAAGGCTGTTGATGGTTTTCTCTGCTCCTTCTCGCACTAATATCGATTTCTTGGTCCTCTCACCAACCCTAAACCCGGGCCACTGCGGTTTCTTGTCATCCCTTTTGTGTGTGTCTCATGCACATTGCTTGATAGCCACCTGTCTCCCCATCCCCGGTTGCTGTGCTGGACATTATGCTGGCATGTGACAAGGCAGACACTACTTTTAAGCCCCTCATCCAACCCCTCCCTCTCAATCACATGGCTTGATTGGTTACTCCCCTGTCCCCCCTTCCCCTCTCCCAGGTGGCGGTGTTGAACAACATGCTGGCGTGCGACAAGGCAGACTCGGCAACGGAGGCGCTGAAATGGTCGGTGAAGGAGGAGCTGCTGGATCTCTACTCGCTCTTCCTCAGCAAGCATGATGCTCAGAGCAGCGCCGCCGGCCGCATGCGGGAGCTCCTCGGGATTGACGATGAGACGGCCGCGTCGCTCTCGGAGATTGTGTCCAAGGGAGGGTTTAATCTGGATTTGGACTCGTCTGTGGAGGAGAACTTTGTGTTTTAGACTGGGAGGGGAGTTGGTTAGATGATGTGCAATGGGTTTGTGGTGAAACGCATGCACTAGAACTGGTGGTGGTGGTGGAAAAGATGGGAGGGCAAGAGTGTTATGAGAAATAACTAATATCTGTTAGAATCCCAATAGAGATTAATGAAATATTGAATTACTACCATATTGATATTGATTGTTTGAGATGTGGATGTCTATCTAGTTCCGTTGTATGATGTTATTAAGGATCGCTTCAATGAGAATGCATGATTGATCTGTACCCCACGGCCCAGCCTTCTTTTGCATCTGATTGTAGACGCATGGCGCAAGGAGCCCTCACACTGTACCAAATCCAGCCAGGGGAAAGGGAGGGTTCCACCATAGTAGAGATCCCGAACACACCCATGATAGAACAGTGTGTCTGAAAAAGAAAGACAATGGAGAAAGAAAGGGAGAAGGAAAATGAAACTCTCAAAAAGAACCCAAATGCAACACACATAAAACTATCAGAATGAGGAATGATGATGCCATTGATGTTGGTTGGGGTACATATAACAAACCCTAACTTCTGTACCCCCTAAGACAAACCTCACTACAGGCTACAACATTTGACACACCCCCATAGCCTAAGTGAGGGGTGTCTAGCAAAATAAAAAAGAGTACGGTCACAAGACCAGTCCAAAAGAAAACAAAGCTCAGGGTGGATCACAACGTCACCACACTCTCTGAGCACAAGCAACAGTGGCCACAAGGCCAGTCCAAGAGATCACAAGTATATATAGCAAGAGTACAGACGAAGCAGGCAATAAACTCAAGCCTACACATGACTAGAACCTGTGTCAACAAGGCCTAACTGCACACAACACCTCTGGTGGTCACGAGGCGGAAGCGCCTTGGTGAAGATGTCTGCAGTGTTGGCCTCGGACTCCACAAACTCGAAGCGAGCCTGTCCACGTCTCTGCAACTCTCGCAGAAGAAAGTACCTGACGTGAATGTGCTTCACTCTGCTCTCCAGTCGCGGCTCACGACAGAGGAGGATCGACGCCTTGTTGTCAGTGAACAACGTCGGTGCAGAGCTCGGCCGCTCACCAAGGTCGGCGAGCAAGAAGGTCAACCAACGCAACTCCTGTGCCGCCATGGCACCAGCGTAAATCTCAGCCTCAGCTGTAGAGGTCGAGACAGAAGAGGAGCGCGTGGAACGCCAGGAAACAGCTCCAGAACCCAGACTGAAACAGTACCCCTGAGTAGACCTGTGAGTCTCAGCGTCGTCAGCGTAAGAGGAGTCACAGTGACCAGTGAGCACGACAGACTGCTGCCCTCCAAGAACTAGCCCCACGCCTGATGTAGTCACTAGGTACTTCGCCATCCTCACAGCTGCCATCCAGTGAACAGGACGGTGTCTCCCTGGCGCAACAAAGCGCGCAAGGATGCTGAGAGGGAAGGCGAGGTCCGGGCGAGTACAAGTCATCAGGTACATGAGGCAACCCACAAGCTCTGCGTAGGGACCACTAGGCTCAAACGGCTCGTCAAGAAAGGGACCAGTGAGTCTGTGGTCAACAGCGAGAGGTGTGCGCTGTACGGTGGAGTGCTGAAGCCCGAACCGCTGAAGGACCTGCTGCACCATGTGTGACTGTGAGAGTGTAATGGTGCGAGCGGCTCTGTCCCTGGTGATCTGCAGGCCAAGGTAGTGGCGCAGCTCACCAAGATCAGTGCACGTGTGTCTCTTCTGCAGTTCGGACTTCACGTCTGCCAAAGCAACCCTGTCCGGAGTGGCGAAAACGAGGTTGTCGACGTAAACCAGAACAAAGAACGGTGTGGAGCCACGACGAACGAACAGCGACGGGTCGGCAGAAGACGGCTGGAACCCAAGGTCAGAGAGGGTAGAACGCAGAGTGTCGTGCCACTCACGAGGGGCCTGGCGAAGACCGTAAACAGGTCGCCTCAGCCTCCACTGGGTCCCAGGAGGGAAGGTGCCAGTGAAGGCCGAGGGACGACGCAACCAGACCTCCTCGTGTAGGCTGCCCTGAAGGAAAGCAGTGGAGAAGTCGAGAGAGTGTAGCTCGTAGTCTCTCTGTGCTGCTACGTGTAGTAACACCCGAAGAGTGGTCATCTTCGGGGTAGGTGCGAAGGTCTGAAAGAAGTCAACTCCCTCACGCTGACTGAAACCTCTAGCCACGTAGCGCGCCTTGAAGACCGGGGGAGATCCCGGTGGCCGCTTCACCCTGTAGATCCACATGCCGTCGACTACGTTCGCCCCAAGGGGGGGAACCTCATCGACGTAGGTGCCTGTGGATCTGTAGGAGGCCATCTCTGCGTCCATGGCAGCTCTCCACTGAGAGGCCCAAGGCCCTGACACTGCCTCAGCGTAAGTGCGAGGAGTCGGAATGTCAAGGGCGTCGGGGTCACCCTCAGGGGCGAGGAGCATGGCACAGAGATGAGGGGAAGCGGCCGCCAGGAACTCTAGCTCAAACTGCCTGTCCTCTAGGGCGTCACAGCCAAGGGCAGACACACCCCCGACGGCCAGAGGACTGGTAGGAGGAGCAGCCACAAGCGTGGTGGCGTAGTCAAGGCGGCGGGTAGAGGCAAAGTCAGTAACTGCGGCAGTAAGAGCGGACACAGAGGACACAGAGGCACGAGGGTGAGTAACAAGAGAGGCGAGAACACGAGAGAGAACAGGACGGTACGTGCGGTAGTAGTCAGTGACAGGAGTAGGGAGCGACACAGTGAGGGCCGACTCAGGAGGAGACGGAAGCACAGACTGAGACGGACGAGGTGGACTAGAAAGAAGGAAGGCAGTACGAAGGTCAGTGAAGGGAACAGGAGACGAGGGACGAGCACGAGGGGAGCGACGAGTAGCCCAAGAACGAGACGGAGGAGGAGAGGACAAAGGCGGAGAACTGGGGAAAACAGCGGGGGAGGAGTCAGGAGGAGGAAACGTGGGACCGTAGACAGGAGGAGAGGCGGAGGAGGGAGGAGAAGGGGAGGGGAGACCAAGGGTCCGAAGACCCGAGACAGGAGGAGGAAGTGGCTGCTGCTGCTGCTGCTGCTGCGACTGCTGCTGCTGCGGAAGCGGCTGCTGCTGGGACTGCTGCTCCTGCGGGTCCAGCTGCTGCTGCTGCTCCTGCGGCTCCAGCTGCTGCTGCTGCTCCTCCAGCCGCTGTAACTCCCTCTCCTCTCTCTCCAACGCCAGCTGCTCGTCACGGGCACGGCGAACACGAGCCTGGTGCCTAGTCGGGTAGGGGTGGGGGGGCGGAGTAGTGTCCGAAGCAGCGGTAGCTCCAGAGTCCACCCCCGAAGAACCAGGCGCACCACCCCCAGAGGCAACACTAACACCAGCTCCAGACCCAGGCTCACCAGAACCCAAAGGAGGCGCACTCTCACCCCCAGTGTCCGCGCGACCAGCACCAGCTCCCGGACGACAAGAGTCCTCTGCACCCACCGGGTCAGCTCCAACTCCAGAACCAGAAACTCCAGCTCCAACTCCAGCTCCAACCCCAGCACCCCCAGAACCAGAAACTCTAGTGCCAACTCCAGCTCCAACTCCAGCTCCAACTCCAGCTCCAACTCCACCACCCCCAGAACCAGAAACCGGTACAGGAACAGGCGCAGCACCAACCTCTCGAGAGCTAGCACCTGCGGCACGCTGCGAGGAGGACTGTGGGGAGGGAGGCTGTACCGGAGAGGCTACCGAAGGAGGAGGGGTAGCCTGGGACACACCCGACGGGGCTGGACCAGGGGGGGGAGGCTGTACCGGGGGAACAGGAGGGGGAGCGGCAGTCAGGAAGAGGGGGGGAGGAGGAACCTGGAGACCTCGACTGGGGTACCTGACGTAGTACGGAGTGGACTCCTCGAAACGGACGTCACGGGAGTCAAAGAACCGGTGAGAGGGAGGGTGGTAAAAGGTGAAGTCAGAGGAGTCCTCAGGGAAACCAAGGAAGACACAGGGGACGGCACGAGGCGAGAGCTTGTCCGCGGAGGTGTCGCGGACAAGAGCCAAGCACCCCCAGACACGAAACCGCGACGCAACACCAGGGGACCCTGTCCAAAGACTGGTCGGTGAAACCTCTGGTCGAGAGACACGTGGCCAGAGGTTCAGCTGGTGCGCGGCGTACCTGACCGCGTAGGGCCACAGAAAATGGGGGGCACAGGCGTGAGTCAGGGAGGTGCGGGCGATCTCCATGACCAGGCCTATGCGGCGCTCAGCAACCCCATTCTGCTGTGGGGACTCTGGAAGCGTCCAGGACTGACGAATGCCCTGCTCGCGACAGAATCCAGCGAGAATGCCGGAGCGAAACTCACCCCTACGGTCGGAGTGGAGGCAGCTGACACGACGACCACGAGTGTCCTCGGTGGTGAGCAACCACCTGATCAGCGTAGAAGTCACCTCAGACTTCTTCGCCAGAGGGAACACTGTGGTGTAGCGGGAGAAGTCGTCAACGACCACCAGAAAGTAGCGCTCACGCTCAAGGCCTAGACGAGGGGCGGGGCCCCAGACGTCCAAGTGAAGCGTCTCAAAAGGCTCGGTGGCCGGACGAAGGGAGGAGGAGTGAGGGGCGGCGCGCAGCCGACCCTCGACGCAGGGACCACACGGCGGCGCAAGCGAAGGCGGCAGCGACGGCAAGACACGTGGGAGGCCTAGGACAAGACGCTGACTAGACATAGCGCGCAGACGAGGAAGGGACGGGTGCCCCATCCGGTGGTGCCACAGAACGGTGGGGTGGGCAAGCGACCGGCAGGAGCACGACGCAGCGACTGGAGCAGACGTAGGAACCTGACACGACACAGACACCTGGGGGGACGAAGCAACCTGGTGAGACACGGGGACCCGAACGGGGGGGGGAACCGGGGGCAGTGGCAGTAGGGGCGGCTGCTGGTGCGACCGCTGGTGCAGCTGCTGCTCCTGCTGCTGCTGCTGCTGCGGCTGCGGCTGCTGCTGCTGCTGCGGCTGCTGCTGCGGCGCACGCGGGCCAGTGTGAAGAGTGTAGAGACCTGAGCCCGGCTCAGCAGTAAAGGTAGCA